GCAGGTGTGTATTCTCCTCTTGAACACATAGCTTTGGGGATTGTTTGTCTGTTTTTGAGTTATTCTTTCATTTGTTCAGTGAAAATTTCATAGAGAATAAAAGGAAAATTATTTTTTAAAATTTTTTGAAATTCTAAAGGTAAATGTAGGGATTTTTTTTGTTTTTCTTTTTAAAAAAATTTATAAATTTTATCATAAAAAAACCTTGCAATTTAAAGTTACCCACAGGGCTGGAGAGATGGCTCAGTGGTTAAGAGCATTGCCTGCTCTTCCAAAGGTCCTGAGTTCAATTCCCAGCAACCACATGGTGGCTCACAACCATCTGTAATGAGGTCTGGTGCCCTCTTCTGGCCTTCAGGCATAAACACAGACAGAATATTGTATACATAATAAATAAAGTAATAAGACTGCATTCACCTTCCCCTTTAAAAAAAAATAAAGTTACCCACAAATGATAGTTAACCAGACTCAAAGTCTATACATCTCAATGAACTTCTGTGCAGTTGGAATAGCCATTAGAAAGTTGTGGGATTTCACATTGGGTTTTATTCTATAACTATCGATATATTTTTTATGCATTTATTCACTACCAAAAACAAAGGAAAGAAAACAAAGGGAGATGGATAACAGAGTTGGAATTAGAACAGCAATTGGCTTTATGTTGGCTGTTATCTGAATAGCTTTACATCTGCATCAGTCCTTATTTTTTCTAAAGGTCTCACCTTCTCTCCCAAGAACCTAATTCAGATCTCAGTATCCACATGGTGGCTCATAGCCAGTCACCTGTAATTCTAGTTCCAGGGGACCCGATGCTGTCCTCTTACCTCAAGAGGGCCCAGGCACATGTATGGTGCAATTAATGTATACACAGGCAAACAACATACATAAAATAAAAATAAATTCAAAACAAAAAGGCAGTTCTTTTGTAATCTTAGCTGGCTTCAATCTCACTGTGTAGTCAAGGATGGTCTTTGACCTTCTGATTCTCCTTGCCTCTACCTTCCAGGTTCTGGGATTGCATCATTCTTGGGCCAAAAATCATAAAACACTTTATCTATCTATCTATCTATCTATCTATCTATCTATCTATCTATCTATTTATTTATTATTGTTTGGTTTTTTGAGACAGGATTTCTCTGTAGCTTTGGAGCCTGTCCTGGAACTAGCTCTGTAGACCAGGCTGGCCTCGAACTCACCGAAATCCATCTGCCTCTGCCTCCTGGGTGCTGGGATTAAAAGCGTGCACCACCACCACCTGGCGATTTTGACTTTATTTGACTTGCTTTGGTGTCACATGACCATGCTTTTGATCTGTCCTCTGTTCTTTTTAGGCAGAACGTCCTGATACCATGTTGGGAGTTGTATGTGGGGCTCTCCATGTGGCAGATGTGAGCCTGAGGAATAGTGTCTCTAACTTCCTTCATTCCTTAGAAAGGTAGGCTTTGCTTTTGCGTCCCTGCCAGCCAACCAGTGGTTGGGAGTACAGGACTACAGCTCAAAGACCCATTTGTTTTTCTGCAACTTCTGGCACTGTATGAGTGCTAGTTGTTATTCATGAACTGATGGCAAAGGAGAAGGGGGATGGCTGGAAGTTAGTTTATGCCACCGTAGAACAGGTCACTTTTTTTTAAAAGTGTATATGTGTTATGTACGTGTTCATGTGGGTATGTACATGTGTACCTCCATGTGATTGGAAGCCAAAGATTAACATTAGGTGTCTTTTTTAATTGCACTTTTATTTTTATGGGTTTTTGTTTTGTTTATTTGGTTCCCCTGTTTTTGTTTTTAATTTTTTGAGATAAGGTCTCTAGGTTCCTGGCTGTACTTGAACTAGCTGTATAGACTACACTGGCTTCAAACTCAACAGAAACCCACCTTCCTCTGCCTTCTGAGTGCTGGGATTAAAAGCATGTGCCACTATGTCTGGCCTCACTTTATTTTTAGAAGTAAGAGTCTTTCAGTGAACCTGGAGCTTACTATTTCAACTAGGTTTGCTGGCCAATGAACTCCCAGAATATGCCTATCTTTACACTCCAACTGCCCCACTACCATCACCACAGTGCTGGAGTTACAGACACGCGTCATTGTGCTCTGCTTTTCCAAGCCACTGGGAATCTGAACTCATATCCTCATGCTTTTGTGGCAGGAACATTGCTCACTGAGCCATCTCCCCAGCTCCAAGGTTAATTAATTTTTTTAAACACTGAAATCCAACTGCAGCAAACATAGTTTCCTGAGAAAAGCTCCTTAAACCGTAGGGATGAAGTCCAGCATTTCTCCCTAGCATCAAACCCTAAATATTTCTTGTATTACCTGCAGCACGTTTCAGGAATTAATAACTGAGGCTGATATTCGGGATGACCTCAAAGTCTTTGAAGTGGAGGGTCAGGCATGTATGAAGCTGACCTAATTTTGTACATTGATTCCAGAGACTAAGCTCTGCCCAAGTCCCTAGGGGAATGGTCCAAAGGACTAATCACATCCAAGCACTTTAACTGCAGGCACTTTATTTCCTTCTGTGTTGTTAGACTTATATTGGCCCCCTTTCAAAGTATCTGAAAGGAAGAAAAGAAGCAAATTTTTTGAAAATTGAACTGAGGTTTCAAGCCCTGTGATAAATATCTCACTGTGTTATTTTCATACACTAAAACCTTCAGCAGCTTGCTTTTCCTTTCTGACTCAGATCTAAATCCCTCAGTCTAACTTTCAACTCCCTGAACACTTTGGCCCCCTCACCAGTCCACTCTTTCTCATTTCTATTCCTCAACCTGCATCTCTAACCTATAAATGGATTCCCTATACATGTAAGAGTTTATTAATAAATCCTTTAGTTTTCTTTTAGTTTGTTGTGTTTTGTTGAGATAGTTTCATTGTATGTTTATCACATTGTATGTTTATCCATAAGTAGTCCAGGTTGGCTTCTAATTCACAGTCCACTTCTTTAGTCTCCAGAGTTCTGGCATTATAGATGTATCAACATTTTGAGCCTACTGTTCTTTAAACGAAACAAAACAAAATTTGTGTGGCACATATGTGTGAATGCCTGCAAACCACAGAAGCTGGTGCTGGAGTTAAAAGGCAGCTGTAAACTACTCCAATGTAAGATGGTAACTAAACTCAGAACTTCTGGAAGAGCAGATGTTAAGCCATCTCAGACAGGCGGTGGTTGCGCACGCCTTCAATCCCAGCTCTTGGGAGGCAGAGACAGGCAGATCTCTTGTTAGTTCAGGGCCGGCCTAGTCTACAAAAGCTAGTTCCAGGACAGGCTCCATAGCTACAGAGAAACCGGTCTCGGAGGGTGAAGGCGTAAGTCACAAACAATGCCACGGCAGTTTGGAATTATGATTAATAGGGTGGTATTTATTTAAAGAGGAAAAAACTTACAGATTCCCGTCCCAGACAACAGCCCTCTGCGCAACCAGGAAGGGAGTCTAGTCGCCGGCGGAGCAGGAAGTAAAGAGAGAGAGCGGAGGGAAGTAGCCGCTTTTTTAAAGGGAGAGAGACCACGCCATGATGGGCTGGTATCTCAGCAGCTATTGGTTGGAGGAGCGGAAGGACCTCCTGCAACAGGAGGGGAAAAAAAAAGGAACAAAAAAATTAAATCATCTCTGCAGCCCCAACATTTTATTTTTAATTAATTTCAAAAACTTGAATTTTGAAATAATCTTTTGGGGAAAGCATAATGTTTGTTCAGGCTGACCTCAAACACACTATGTAGCTAGCTGTTGCTGGCCTTGAACTCATAATTCTCCTACCTGTACCTCCCAAGTGCTTTGATTACAGGCATATGCTACAACACATGGCATAATTCTGTTTAAATTTTTTTTTTGTCTTTTGAGACAGGGTCTCTTTGTAAAGCCCTAGTTGACTTAGAACTCATTTTGGAGACCAGCCTGGAGCTCACAGGGCTCTGCCTTTTTCTGCCTCCAGAGCACTGGGAGTAAAGTTGTATGCCTCCATACCCTGCCTCATAGTTTGCCTTTTATTAGTTACTATCTGTAACCAGTATAGATAACGTACATACTCTTCACTCATATTTACTGGCTATCAGGAAATCAGCTACCCTTCTTTAGTGCTCCCCGTTTTTATTAGTTTTTCAAATTCTGACTTATTTTGTTTGTGACAACAGTGCATCCTACTTCAGTTTTTTTTTTTTTTTTTTTTTTTTTTTTTTTTTTTTTTTTTTTTTTTTTTTTTTTTTTTTTTTTTTTTTTTTTTTTTTTGAGACAGGGTTTCTCTGTCTCTGTGTAGCCCTGGCCATCTTGTAACTGGTTCTGTAGACCTGGCTGTTTTTCATTATGCATCCTTTTGAAATATAGAATATCTATTAATTGTTCTTTAAAATGAAATTACTAGACTTAGTGGTTCATTCGCACCTTCAATCTTTGCACTTAAGAAGCTAAAGTAAGCTGGGCGATGGTGGAACAAGCCTTTTGAGAGGTAGAGTCAGGTAGATCTCTGAGTTCAAGGCCAGTATGGTCTACAGAGCTCGTTTCAGGATAACCAGGGCTACACAGAAAAACCCTATCTTGAAAAATTAAAACCAAACTGAACAAAACAAAACAAAAAAAGTAGGGGACTGGGCAGTGGTGGCACACACACACCTTTATTCCCAGCATTTGGGAGGTAGCTGGATACATGGTTAGAGAAATAGCTGGAGTTGGGTGGACTGAGCTCTTTCATGATAAAATCACAGCACCCAGGAAGTTAAATACAGTTGAGCAGAGAGGTGGGTTATTGCATACAGCTGAACCAGGAGGCAGGGTATTACGATAACCAGGGGAGCAGGATTTATGTGTGGAGCTGGATCAAAGAAAGATACAGGCATAGGTAATTGTGTTAAGGCACACAATATCTCTAAGGAACAGTCTTTAGATTCTAAATATCAGGGCACAGAGTGCTATGGTGGAAGTTTTTACATACACTGTCAACTAGAAGAGAAGGCTTTGCAGTTTCTCTGAACCTTTTCCTGGGAAGGCTTTGCCATTTTCCTTGAGTCTGAGGCTCTGAGGTCTTGGCATGCCTGTGTCCCTGTCAGCAGCACATACTCACTCAGAACATCACTCACTCGGGCCTTCTTCCATTCCCTGTAGATAGTAAGGTTTATGTTTTGTATATAATACCACAATTAAATGTAAAAAATAAATTTCACCCTTTTTTCATAATATATATGACCACTCTTTTATAGGCAGTCATTTAGTTTTTTTCTCTTATTACTATTTCAGGAAATATCACAATCAATAATCTTTGAGATTTCTTTATAACCTATTAGAACTTTATAGAAGTAAGTATGTCATATATTGTCATTCTTTCAGGGGTCAAGTCCTTCCTGCTCACACACTTCTGAACACAGTAGATGTTGAACTTATCTATGAAGGAATCAAATATGTACTTAAGGTATGCAATCCCCACCAAAGTCTACACTTTAGTTTCTATCTTTTCTTCTGTTCTTAAAGCTAGTTTTCTTAGGCTGAGAGACAGAGAAAGTTTGCTTTTGTTTACGAATTGGAATATTCCAGTCATTATTTATGTCAGAGTCAGGAATCAGTATTTGGCAATTCTGTGAAAATGTAGTTATTTCTCACCTTGACATACTTCCAAGAGATAATGAAGAGGCAGGGAACAGCTGGAAGAGAGAAAAGCATCTGAAGTTACCCCGGTTGGCAGGTAACAGGTATAAGCAGCACTAGTGTCACCACTCTATGCTTGACAACTTCTTAACCTTTATCTTTGAAATACTACATTGTGTCTCAGGCTGTGCTTGTCTTTCCGGCCCTTGTTTACTGCAGGTGACTCGACAGTCTCCCAACTCTTATGTGGTGATCATGAACGGCTCATGTGTAGAAGTTGATGTGCATCGGCTGAGTGATGGTGGACTGCTCTTATCTTATGATGGCAGCAGTTATACCACTTACATGAAGGAAGAAGTGGATAGGTGAGTGACTGTTTAAGGTCTAGTTGCTTGCCATTGTATTAACTTTTCCACTTACTGTTAGGATTATTCCAGGAGTACAAAAGTGTTTATAATTGTAAACATGTCTATGATTGTAAACATGTCTTAAGGTGGGTGTTGTGTTTTATGTCTGTGGTTTCAGTTACTCAGGAGGCTGAGTTCTTTCTTTCTTGAGGGAAGGAGTTTAAGGCCAGCATATGCAACTTAATGTGATCCTGTCACTTAAGGAAAGAAAACATGTTTCCCTACCCCTCCAATGCAGTAGACATGAAAAGTAATTTATCCTTCAAACAAACTATAATAATTGATAGTTTTTGTATATTGATTAGAATTTATATAATCATATAAAAATTATTCATAGGTGCATACTGTTTTTTCCTTTAAATATACCCACAAATTATTATCTATTAAATACTATTTGCACTTTTCTTTTTTTAAATATTTATTTTATGTCATTTACATGTGCCTGAGTATAAAAATTTATCATTTATCTCCAGTCCTTTGCAAGAACAGCAAATGTTCTTATCTTCCACTTCCCAGTCTCTTAGCTCAGGTCTTGTTGTGTACATAATGATCTTGAACTTCTTTATGATCTTCTTGCTTCTACCTCCTGCATGCTGAAGTTATCAATATACATCACCACACCTGATTTATGTGGTCCTCAGGACTGAACCCTGAGCTTCATGCATGCTAGGCAATGTCCCCAACTGTACTACATTCTCAGATCTCTGCATCTCTCTCTCTCTTTTTAGTAGTATATCACACCAGCCATATTACTGTGAGAATTAAATGGTTTGATCTATTTGGAATGCATAAAGTATTGCTACAATATAGTTATTGTTCCACAAATATTATAGTTGAGCTTGGTATTTCATGCCTCTAACTCTAGCATTGAGGAAGCTGAAGAGGACTGAGGCCAGACTCGGTTACATAGTGAAGTTCTTTCGGAGAAAGAAATAGAGAGAAAGGAGAGAGGGAGAAAAATGAAGGAGGGGTTATTAGTTATTTTTTTTAATAATTATTTATTTATTATGTATACAATATTCTGTGTGTATGCCTGAAGGCCAGAAGAAGGTGCCAGACCTCATTACAGATGGTCTGTGGTTGCTGGGAATTGAACTCAGGACCTTTGGAAGAGCAGGCAATGCTCTTAACCACTGAGCCATCTCTCCAGCCCCGGTTATTAGTTATTATAGTATCATTATCTTTGTATTTTATATAAGTATTCTTTTTTAAAGTTTATGTTGTATTCCTGTATATGAATATATCATAATTTATTTCATCTAACTCTTAACTGAAGATGATTACTAAAATCTTAAATAAGGACCAGCAAGATAGCTAGACAGATAAAGGCACTTGCTGCCAAGCTTGACACCTAAGTTTAATCCCTCACACCCACATGGCAGAAGAGAGGACCAACTCGTGCAAGTTGTCCTCTGACCGCCATAAATGCACATACCCACACATGGTACAATTGCATGTAAACTAAATAAATAGATATATAAGATACACAACTTAAAAATTATAAAGAAAGATAAAATGAATACCTTGTTTGTATGTGTGCATTGTATATGTGATAACATTTTCTTTGGGTTGTTTGTTTGTTTGGTTGGTTTTTCAAGACAAGTTTTCTCAGTAGCTTTGGAGCCTGTCCTGGAACTTGCTCTGTAGATCAGGCTGGCCTGAATTCACAGAGATCCACCTGTGTCTGCTTCCTGAGTGCTGGGATTAAAAGTGTGCACCATCACGTGGCTTACTTATTGTTTTTAAGACTGACATTTCTCTCATTTTGCTTTATAACCAGAGTGCTTTATTGGCTTGCCTCTTCTACTTATCTCTTAGATACCGAATCACAATTGGCAATAAAACTTGTGTGTTTGAGAAAGAAAATGACCCATCTGTAATGCGCTCACCTTCTGCTGGGAAGTTAATCCAGTATATCGTGGAAGATGGAGGCCATGTGTTTGCTGGCCAGTGCTATGCTGAGATTGAGGTCAGGGTGGGGAATAGGCTACTGGGTCATGGGAGGGAACATAGGTTGGTGGGAATAGGCTAGGATTGGAACTAACAGAAAGGAAGAACATCAGTTAATTTAGTGTAGATTGTGAACCTTAAGATTTAAAAACAAGACCTCACTATTTTCCTTTGACAGGTGAAGACACCTGAGCTTTAAAAAAATATAGTAGCAAGAGTACTAAGTGACAGTTGCTATGCTAACTGTTGACTACTACAGGATATGCTGGTAGAGTTGGGCACAAAGCAGATAAGTAATGAAGTATGATGAATTCTAAGAACAAGAGGTTCACCTAACCCTAACTGAGATAGGGTATGAGGTAAGGAAAGGCATCCTAAAAGAAGAGACACTTGCTTAGTCTTCCTTTTGAAAAGATAGATAGCTGGTGAAGATGGGCAGGAGACAATGCTTGACATTGAGGCACAGAAACAAGACAGTGTGTTGCAGTAGAATTTATTGAGCATAGATTAGAATTTGATGTGGAGTGACAGGTAAAAACTCCATAGAAGGAAATTGAGATCATGATGGAGCCTATGACTGTCCTGAAGCCCACAGGGAATCATTGAAGGATTTTAAGTGGGAATATGGTATGATGGGATTTAGGCTCTAGAGTGAAGGTTTAGGTGGACCTTATTGGAGGTAAATGCTACAAAGGGACTATATCTCATAATAGATTTTTAAAAGTACTCCAGGGGATCTGACACTCTTACACAGACAATGTCCACACAAAATAAATAAATAAAAAGAAAAAAGTATTCTAGGCCTGAAATGAAATGACCTAGCACAGAGACACTGCAGCAAAGATGTTAGTGATAGATTTAGAAGTTGTACTTACTGGTGACTGGTGTCCAGTAAGGTGAAAAATGCTGGCATGATGACAAGTAAATTCACAAACGGTAGCAAAAATATATTTAGTTTACAAAAGTGTTGTAATCCCAGCACTTGATATGCCAGAGGGCCAGGAGTTCAAAGTCATAATCAGCTACATAGCAAACTGATTTAGTGACATAGACAGCTTTGGGTTCAGCAAACCATGAAAACAGTCAAAAATCCAAAAGCAAAACAGGAATCATTAGTGTCTGTTTTTAATCCTCAGATATGCTCTGAGAAATTTACCAGTTGTCTGCCTTAATACTTCACTGGAGATTTTGATAGATTCTCATTTTTGGAGGGTTAAACTAAGTGTATTCCAGCTTAGATGTTAACGGGAAAACTGTCCTTTTAACTATTCTGTATTCATTACAGGTAATGAAGATGGTGATGACTTTAACAGCCGTAGAATCTGGGTGCATCCATTATGTCAAGCGATCTGGAGCAGCTCTTGACCCTGGCTGTGTGATAGCCAAAATGCAGCTGGACAACCCCAGTAAAGTCCAACAGGTAAGGAAGGCATTAGGATATCACTCCACGAGCGAGTAACACAGGAACTTGGAGGAACTTGATTTGACAACTCGTCTCCTCTCCAATCTTTTCCTCCTTTCCCTCTTCACCACCTTCCTCCCGTTTTGCATGTATGTATGTCAGAGTATGTATGTGCTATTCATGTGTATGTGCGTCAGAGGAGGACGCACATATCTCATTCCCTGGAGATGGTTTTCACTGAACCTGAGCTAGGCTGGCAGCCAGCAAGCGCCAGCAGTTCTGCTCCTGTCCCCTGACAGTGCCGGTGTGGTCCAGCCCAGCTTTTTTTGTGTAGGTCCTAAGGATCTGAACTCAGGTTCTAATGCTTGTGCAGTGAGTGCTCTTACCCCTGTCCTTTCTTTCTTTTCATCTTGAACTCCTCCTCTTCTTGCCTCTATCTCCCAAGTTTTAAGATTGCAAATATGTGCCACCACAGTTAACTTCTTGTCATTTTTTATCATAATTATTTTTTTCCTTCTGGTTTTGTCCTTTGTATTTGTGCCTGTAGTATTGTGGAACTGGAGTTTGCATTAGCCAGTATAAAGCTGAGATTCTGTCATTTTCTCATAGTGTTTCATTCACTGACTTCTCTCCAAATAGGTCTGTACCATGAAAGGATATCTCAGTTTTGATGGTGACTGAATTGTGATAGTGTTTATGTCCAGAGCAGATGGTAATGAATGATGATTTCTTGTGATCCACAGGCTGAACTTCACACAGGTAGCCTGCCACAGATTCAGAGCACAGCTCTCAGAGGCGAGAAGCTCCATCGAGTGTTCCACTACGTCCTGGATAACCTAGTTAATGTGATGAGTGGATACTGCCTTCCAGATCCTTTCTTCAGCAGCAGGGTATGAGTTGCTTTCCTGGGAAAGGGTGTACAGATGTATTGATTCTCTAGAGTAACTTCACATCTCAGGAGGAATTTTTAAGATTGATTCCTCCACCTTACCTCCTTTTTGGTGCTTGGGATTGAACCCAGGGCCTTAAGCATGCTATGTAAGCACTGTACCACTGAGTTACATCTTGAGCTCATAAAGAATGTTTTTAGGGGGAAAAGTTGTTTGACCTGCTATGTTCCCACATTTTGTTGTTGGACTTGAAGCTATTTATTTATTTATTTATTTACTTATTTACTTACTTATTGGAAACAGGGTTTCTCTATGTAGCTCTGGCTATCCTAGAACTCAAGACTGTGGAGACCAGGCTGACCTCAAATTCAAACTCACAGAGGTCTGTCTGCCTCTGCTTCTGCCTCCCAAATGCTAGGATTAAAAGCATATACCACCATGTTTGAATTGACTTGACATTTTGAGTCCTTCTTAGTTTTGTCATTTGCTTGGGATTATTTCTTTTTGAACTATAGGCTGGGGCAGTGTTTGATGTTTATGCTGCAATTTTAAAGTAAGCACTGGGGACTGGAGAGAAGGCTCAGTGTTAACAGTACTTGTTCCAGCATTTACATGGTGGTTCAGAACCATCTATAACTCCCAAGCACTCATATGATGCACTTCCACGCACATAAAATAAATAAATCTAAAGTAAGCATGAACATTGAAGTAGAGTAGATTCAGTTATCTCATTTTATTTTGGGAATTGTATTGACCTTGTATCCTATTTGATTATTTTTTTCTCCTCAGGTAAAAGACTGGGTAGAACGATTGATGAAGACTCTCAGAGATCCCTCCCTGCCTCTTCTAGAGTTGCAGGATATCATGACCAGTGTTTCTGGCCGTATTCCCCTCAGTGTGGAGAAGTCTATTAAGAAGGAAATGGCTCAGTATGCTAGCAACATCACATCAGTTCTCTGTCAGTTTCCCAGCCAGCAGGTATTTATGGAGTAACACTGTCATTATATTCTGTTGACTGCCACTGGAATTCATGCTCTAGGAGGCCTCTCTGTTTGGCTCCTTCCCACTGTGTGATTTTTCCACTGTAAGCATTGAATCCTTTACAAAACTACCTCAGGATATGAGCCCAATAAGGCAACACTGTATGTACAATGTAGAATATCTTATACTCTGTGAGGAAAAGTGAGCTTTGGCTTTGTATTCCTTATCACTTTGCTTTCGGGAAGAGTCCCTGATTAGAGTTGTTTTTGTTTGTAAGAGTGACATGAAGGATATTGGTAATCTGTTTGCCTGACCCTCTCCGACTACCTCAGCTTCCTTATTCTTTGATATAATGCAGGGCTATATAGGGAGTAAAGCTGGAGAAGTAAGGAGTAAGGTGTGGATTTTACCTTAGACCAACTTTTGCCCATCACAGTTTCTGGTTAATGTAGTTCTGTGATGTAATTATTAGTGTATCTGGGAAAGGGTGGAAAGAGTTAGAAATTCTTTGTTTATTTAGCAAGCTTCTAAATTTCTAGTAACTTTCTACTGCCAACAACATGTCAAAGATAGGAGTTATCTTATTATATAACCAAGAAGATTTCTTTGGTAGTGGTGGTGATGTAGAGAATGTGCATTGGGTCCCTTTGACAGGAAGGGCTTCATTTTTCTTACTTCTTTTGCCTTAGATTGCCAACATCTTAGATAGTCATGCAGCTACACTGAACCGGAAATCTGAGCGGGAAGTCTTCTTCATGAACACCCAGAGCATTGTCCAGCTGGTGCAGAGGTAGTCACGTGGGTCTCCAGAGTCTCATGCCTTCTTTGCTTTCAATTGGGCATGTAAACATTTACTTCAAATCTAACTTTAAGAGAGAAGAAAGAACTTTTATCTCTCAGAAAGTACCTTGTATCTTTTTGCTATCTTATTATTATGACCTAACTCATTCAGTATTTCTGCTGTTTTCATAATATTCTGTCTGTTATTATGGCCTCTAAATCCTATTGTTTTCTTTTTATTGCTGTTTTGATGAAGATCCTAATTTTTCTTTTAACGTAGACTCCAATGTGTTTATTGTTTGTATTTTATTGTTCCAGGTATTAGAACTAAAAAGCTGTCCAGAGCATTTTCAACTTTAAGATACTTAAATTTTTCAAAAGTTCCTTAGCCATTTGAAGCTAGATGATGACTCAGCAGTCGAAGCTAATTCCACAGTGTCATTAGATAAAGATACAGAGTCTGGGGAATGAAGAGTAGGGGTGCTTTTTATTTTCCTTTTCTGCTTTTCCTTTATAAAAGGTTTATGCACTGAAGTTACTTTTCAGTTTAGAATTTAAGTTAATATGTTTGGGTGATTGAATTTTCAACCTGAAAATACAAGCTACAAGCCTGTCCGATATTCGGAGGGAAGGCAGTTCAGGGGAAAGTCTAGAAAGTAATTTTGCCCATTGAGCTTATTTAATAGTATCGGCCTATCCTGCTTCATAGGTACCGAAGTGGCATCCGTGGCCACATGAAGGCTGTGGTGATGGATCTGCTCCGACAGTACCTGCGTGTGGAGACACAGTTTCAGAATGGTAAGCTTCGTCCTAAGGACTCTCTAAGGAAGTCTGTAGCTCTGATTACTGTGTCAGAGCTAAGCCAGTTCACCCTGATACTAACACTTTCTTCCCATTAACAAACTTTTTTTCTCACTTCCCTGAAAAACTAAAACCTCTATACCTCACCAGTATGAAAAAGAACACTAATATAACATAGCTTGGTGAAACTGGAACTCCAGTGTGCTTCTGAGGAAGGGTTGAAATGTTCTTGTAGAGATTATTATTCCCTGTTGACATCTTCTTGACCTTGTGTAGTGAGAGTTGGTTGAGTCATGATCAGCCTGAAATTGAAATTCCCTGTCTGAAGAGCTTGCCTCTCAGCAACTAATCCAAGGGTTGAACCACAGGCATATGGGAAGGGCTTAAAATCTTCACTACTTTTTAGTGTGTCATTTGGTTGGAATTTATCCCTGACTTTCTCTGAAGAGCTTCACTAAATGATGGATAGTCTTTAAGAGCGAAATAAATACCTTGGTTAAGATTTTAAAGCTACATACTGTTGTTTATGGCATCCTGCCACAAGATGGCAGTGTAACACCAAGTTCTCTCTTCCCATGCTCTGCTCACTTTTGCAGCATTTAAGAGATGTCTCTACCCTTTATGACCAGTTAAATCGCCGAAGCAGATATTAGCAAGTTAAATAACGTTGGCTTTATGCTAATTAAAGCAAGGTTGATAAATTCAGGGGCAGTTAATTTGTCATGTACTAGTATAGTAAGAAAGAATAAACAGAGTCATTATCTCAAGATATTAGGGATAAAAATATTGGACAAAGATCAGTATGGAATGAAATGATATTTTTGCTAGTAGGCGTGTTCCCACCTCTACTCTTATGCTGGGGATAAATCAATAAGTTACATCTTTACTCCTGAAATGGAATATTTAAACTTGTTAAGATGACCCACAAACATTTCTCATGATTAAGTCATACATAATGGCAGCTTGTTCAAAATTCTACTTTTAAGATGAAAGCAGTGGCCTCACTGTGTCCATTCAGCGTCATGCTGGGTGTCCTTGCTATTGCAGTAAGATAAGAAAAGGATTTAGGAAATCTTAGAGCATGAAGACTTTCCCTTCAAATCCCAGAGCTTGGGGATGGTGACAGAAGAGTATCAGAAGTTCAAGGCCACCCTTGGCTACATGAGACCTTGTCTCAAAAAAAATAAAGGTTTGAGAACTCGTGGTAATTAAGATTGGCCACCAAGAAATTCAGTGCCTACTTGGAAGGCTCAAAGAACCCCCAAGTTTATTACTAAATTATTTAAAACCAAACAAAAATTTCTAAGTATGAAAGTCAAACCTGCAAGGCTTAGTGGTGAGCACCTTTATTTGGAAGAAAGAGGCAGGATCTCAAGCAAACAAACAAATCAAACATAAAATTCAGTTGCAGCCGGGCATAGTGTCATTGGCCTTTAATCCCAGTACTCAAGAGGCAGAGGTATGGGGATCTCTGTGAGTTCGAGGCCAGCCTGGTTTACAAAACAAGTTCCAGGACAGCTCTGTCTTGAAAAACTAAAAGAGTAAGAAAAGTTAAAAAAAAATAAAAATTCAGTTGTAGCTGGGGTGTAACTCCAGACTAGAGCACTTGGCTATCATGCATGAGGTCCTGGGTTCTTCAGTCCACAACACTTCGGAAAATATTTCTTTTTAACTATTTACTTACTTTTGAGAATGAGAATTTTTCTCATTCTGTGGCCGTGGCCTGCCTCCCACTTGCTTTGTAGATCAGGCTTGCCTTGAATTCATAGAGCTCCCCCCCTCCCCCCCGCCTCCCAAGTGCCATTTGAGATTCAGGTATGTGCCGTCAGGTACAGCCTGAAAAGATCTCTTTATAGCAATTGTTTAGAAAAACAGTTCTGAAAAATATACTATTTAAAATTGCAGTTAGAACCCATAAAATATAAAGGTACAAATACAATTAAAAGCATGCACTTCTCTTCTGGTGGGAATTCTAATGAGTGAACAGTAGTGAAGAATAGCTTGGTAAATATTAAGAACAGACACTCTTACAAAGGTATCAGTTATCGCTAAATTCACTTTGTCAACCTGTTAGCATTCTAATAAGCACCCCTCCAGGTATCTTTGTGAGACTTATCAAGCTGATTCTAAGATTTACACAGAATTCTGGCAATAGACAAGATATTTCCAAAGTAGCTGTAGCTGTAATCCCAGCACTCAGAAGACAGGCAGAAGGATTGGTGTATATTCAAGACCAGCCTGGTCTCCACAGCAAGTGCTAGGGCTACCCAGTGAGACTCTGTTTGAAACAACAAGATGAATTCTAAAGCAATAGAAAATAAAAAATACTTGTTGCATGAAATACCAAGATTTGCATATAAAGCCATCTTAATTAAACAGCTGTGACATCTATGAAAGGACAGAGTTATAGATAAAAGAAACATAATTACCCAGAAGTAGATCCATATGCATGTGATTCATTTCTTGATAGAGCAGGCATTTTGATCAAGAGGAAAAGGAGAAAACATAGTTAAACAATACCAAGATGAGGAGCGAGGCATCCACACTTCATTCTGTACACTCAGGACCATTTTCAAGTAAAGTAAAGATTTAATCATCTATCAAATAGGCTAAATTATGAAATTTTAGGATATCCTTTTGACATCAGGATAAAGAAGAGGTTATCATACTACCGATAGGAAGTGCATACTGTAATGGAAACAACTGATTCATTTTGTCTGCTCAGGAACTTCTCTTCATCCCATGTACTGTTAAGAAATCGAGAACAGGGGGCTGGAGAGATGGCTCAGAGGTTAAGAGCACTGGCTGCTTTTCCAGAGGTCCTGAGTTCAATTCCCAGCTACCATGTGGTGGCTGACAACCATCTGTAATGAGATCTGGTGCCCTCTTCTGGCATGGAGGTGTACATGCAGGAGGCACATTGTATATGTAATAAATAAATCTTTAAAAAAAAAGAAAGAAATCGAGAACATAGGCTGCAAAGTGAAAGGAGCTATTTATAAAGTTTACACCTATGATAGGATTAGTACTAGTATGTAAAATGCAATCGAACATAAAAATAGGCAAGAGAGAGAAAAAGATATTTCACAGAAGAGGAAGCACAAATAATCTATAAACGTCAAGAAAATGCTCACTCCCATTACCAATTACAGAAATGGGAACCCAAATCACAGATTTTACAATCACATTATACTGCACTTGGGAATGGCAGTGTAAATGGCGTGATTGCTTCAGAAAACAGCATGTCCATATCTAGTAAGTCTTTCATAAAGTTGTTTTTATTTTTGCTCTTTAGTGTAGTAATCTTACTGTTAAGATATAAGGACCATTTTTGTGTTACTAGTATTCATAATAGCAAAAAAAAATAAAGAAGAATCCCTCTAAATATTTACAAATAGAATGACCTTTTGATTTCCAGGATATTCCTACAGTGGAATATTGTATAGCACTGAAAATAGATGATTTCTAGGAACACATATAAACAAGTGAGTCAGTACATAGTGTGCTTCTGTTTTATCATGTTCAAAACCAGGAAGAAAGAAGTTAGGTATATTGTTGACAAATGTAAAGAAAGCAAAAAATTCAGCTCAGTAATTGTTTTTGAAGAACATATAGTAGATAGCGGTATTAAGAGGCACTAAATGTATTTTGAAATTTAGTAGCTTTGAAGGTAAGTATTTTGGTTCATTCTTCTAGCATGTGGGAATCTGAGGCAAAAAGATTGCCAAATTTAAGGCCAGCATTGTACCGTATACTGAGAACTAGGGAGGGGATCTAGGAGATTATAACTGGAGAGATGGTTCATCAGTAAGAGGACTTACTGCATAGCTGCCAAGGCTTCCATACCTCTTCAGTCCTTGCTGAGCTCCTGTGTACATGTAGAATACACATAAAATAACATGCAGAAAACAACATGTATATACATAAAATAACAGTTATACTCTTTCTTGTTTTTTTACTATGTGTTCATATATATATGGACATATATGTATATTTATTTATTTATTTAAAGAAAAAAATTTTCAGTCAGAAAGTGATGGCTCACATTCCTTATCCCAACACTTAGGAGGCAGAGGCAGGCAGATCTCTGAGTTTGTGGCCAGCCTGGTCTATAGAGCAAGTTTCAAGACAGCCAGGACTACACAGAGAAGTCTGTCTTCAAAACAAAATGAATAAAAAAAAAAAAATAAAAATTAAAACAACAAAAAATTGAAATAGCACATAGGCATTTATTCATTTGAAATAGTACAATGTTTCAACTTTTAGTTTGTATTTTATGTATTTAAGGGTTTTGTTTTGTTTTGTAAGTGTTTTAAAAGAAGAATTCAATGTAGACAGTCTGCTCAGCAGCCGTATGGCCGCCCTCCTCTGGCTATAATGACACATCGAATACATGTAGTGTACAAGCACTTACAGTCAGAACACCCATACACATAAAATAATTTTTAAAAGAGCTTTATTTTTATTTTGTGTGTTTCGTTATTTTGGTTCAATGTATGTCTGTGCATCATATCCTGTTCCCCCTGGAACTGGAGCTACACATGGTTGCGACCTGGTATGTTGGTGCTGGGACTCAAATCCAAGCCTCCTGGAAGAGCAGCCAGTGTGCTCCTGTATTCTTTTTTTTTTTTTTTTTTTGGATTAAATTTTATTGATTCTTTGGGGATTTGTGGATTTCATATCATGTATCTCAATCCCATTCATCTTCCTATCCCCCCTTTGTATCCACCCTTCTTCCCCTACAACTTCTCTCCCAAAATAAAATTTAAAAGAGCAAGAGAAAAAAATATATAAACCCTAATTTTCCTTTCTTGGAAATTTAATTTAGAGCCATTTATCACTTATGCTCCTTCATAGATACATACGTAGATATGTCAGAGATTTGTTTATGTTGCAGAACTCAGCTTTCCTGCCCAGCATTACCCTGCCTCTGGTGTCTTACAGAAGGCCAGCAAAGCATGCAGAACTATACTCCCTATAGCCTTTGGTGCATGTGAGGCTCCACATCATGTACACTGTGGTTGGGATGTAGAAATTTAGAAATCTTGACATTGCTTTTCCTTGTCTTACAATGGAAATATTGATCCCCAATATATTGCAGTTTTATTTCTTGAGCTAAAACAGTTCTCAGTAGTTAGGGTGAAGCATTCTCAATGAGTTAGATGTGTCAAGCTGGAGTAGACTGGAAAGATGACAGGATTAATGATTTCAATGTTTATTTTGTTAATATATATTTATGTTTGCCTACATGTATTCATGTTCCTATGTGTGAGTGTATGTACCTGTATAGGTGTGAAAGACAACTGTTGGTCAGAAATGCCATTCATTTTTTTTTTTTTTTGATATAAGGTCTCTGTTTGGCCTAAGGCTCACTAATTAGATTAAATTGGTTGTTCATCAAGTCCCAGAGATTTTTCTGTTTCTGCCTCTAATTCTAGGGTTATAAACATGTGACATAATGTTGGACATTTTTATATGGGTCTTAGGATCATACTCAGGAGCTGGTGCTTGTGAGGCAAGCACTGTACCTGCTGAGCATCTTCCCAGCCCTTGACATTTATTTTTAAGCATGAAACTTTCTCTTTTAAGGAAATTATTCCAAGAGAACAAATAAGATCATGAAGAGAAAAAGTAGAATTGGAGTCATACTCTTCCCACCTTTATTTTAGAGGCATATCCCTGTCCCTTCTGTTTTCTAAGTAAAATCAAGACTCAAAGAGGTCAAGTAATTGACATAGTGAATTGATAATAGAGCTAGACCTTGGTTCCAGGTTTTGGGATCCCTTGGAGTCTCATGACTCCTGGTCTAGTGCTTCTTTTATGGCCCACATGCTGGTTCTGTCTAATTCCATGAAAAAAAAAAAAAGATCCTTAAGGTGTTTCTTCTCACTGCTTATCAAGTATGTTACAGGCATTAAGAAACAGCCAATAGCATGTAAGGCTGAGGCTTCATGGATACATGGTGAGGACCAATTTTCTTTACCACTTGCAGGCCACTACGACAAATGTGTGTTTGCCCTTCGAGAAGAGAACAAAAGTGACATGAACACTGTACTGAATTACATCTTCTCCCACGCTCAGGTCACCAAAAAGAATCTTCTGGTCACAATGCTTATTGTGAGTATCAGGTTTCTTGTTTTTGCTGTTTCCAGAACTTGTAGGTTGGTTGATGTTATGCAAAATGGTGTGTGTGTCTGTCTGTCTGTCTGTTTCTGTCTCAGAACAAAAGCTGCTGTCTTATAATTATGGTAAGTGGAGCCTGGGCTGCGGATAAGTAGTTGCTTTATCTGAAGCAGTGCCCGACAGTTAGGAAGGGATTGTTTTGCAGAGACTGTGTACAGAAACTTAGCTGTCTTTGCCCCACTTGTAAATGCCTGGCCCTTTCTGTTAGCTTGACGACAGCTTTCTTATGCAGTTTCCTCTAAGCAGTGTGCTGCTGCACATTAACTCTTGTGTACATCCAGCAGTGCAAGCACTGGTTCTCGTGTCAGAAAAGTAATAAAATGAGAAATTTAGTACTTACCCTCCCCCTCCAAGAAATCAATTAAATGTATACAGCATCTTCTTTGGCCTTTTCTTCTTTGATTTACATGAAAATCTATGCTCAGGGTATTATATTTCAGTGAATCAGTTCTTTTGTCCCTGTTTCTGACTAATACAAAAATTAGTAGAAAATGGGAGGGGGAATAAAACTGGCAACTGAATTGAAATCAGATACATTTGCCTCTGCTAGAAGTTTGCAGAGCTGAGGGTTTTCATGTTGGTTTCAAGTTCTCCACTCCCAGTTCTTCCTGGCTGAGCTAGCATGCAGTGTTTGAGAACAATAGGGCTGCTTTTAGAAGACAGGACCTGCTGCTGCACTTTTGCCTTGCCAGAGACTGAAGTGCAGTTCACTCCCTGAACTCCCTTTCCCAGCGTTTTGTGGTATGAACATTCCTTATACTTTTAATTCCATCATTTATTCATGGAAGGGAAAACCCCTTATAAATCTTCATTGCCATTTTTTATGTAATCCCTCGGAATGAAAGGAAACAGTTTTCCTTGTGTCTCTGGTTGACAGCATTGCCACTCACTCAGCCATCTGCCACGCTGGTTGGCTGTATCAGATGTAGCATTTTTTAGGTAGCCGCTTTAAAAAACATGTCATAGGGAGAGTTCATTACCTTTTGCTACCCTAGAATGGCTTTTTGAAGAAACCCAGGCCTTTGAGATGGGTGGAAATGTTGGCACAAAGAACTGTTTTAACTTTCCCATGAGATAGTTTTCTGCAAAGAATTTATAATTTATAGCAACTTACTGTTTATTTTCCCTTAGAAATACTACTTTCTTTTTCAAATTTTAATGCAAGGATTACACTTGGAGAAAGTCAAGACTTTCTGACAGAAAAGGGTAATGATTAGAAAGTCGAAGGATCCGTCAGTGTGGACCAAAATGGGGCCAAAATTTGCCTTTAGAGGAAGCTAATTATGGCAAATTTTTCATCTTATTATGATTACCTTTTTAAGAACTTAACAGTTTTCTGCACTAAAAATAGGCCAAAGCCCAGAATCCTTGGAGCAGCAGAAGAGTAATGATCGTCCAGGACTGTCGCTGGGTTTCTTAAATTCTAATTTGTAAGATATAGGGGCTCGGCTCGCTCCTTTTGCGGAGTGATTGTAAGTAACGCTTGCCTTAAGAATCTCATTATTGGAACACGGAGCCATATTTCCTCTGAGAATTCTGGAGTAGCTTTGAGCCGGGGCTGTTCATTTCTCAAGTAATCACGCTGGTGTGATGGAGAGAGAAAATGGCAGCTGTTCGGAGCTCAGGCCTTCAATTTTCTTCAGAGTCCAGTCACTCAAGTGTGTAATTACACGGGGGTGCTGCAGAGGCGTTGGGCTCTGTCAGAGAACCAGTTTGAGGCTTTGCTTGCTGCCTTTGCCAGTCAGGACAGCCAGAAGCCAATGGGTCCCTGACTTGCTGCTGTTTTTTCCCCCACCTTGTCATCCTGATTATTTCTTACCTGCATGAATAGTGCCCAACTTTCTTCATAGCAGGCGGAGCTCTGGCAGCTGGATTTACCTGTTTCTCTATTTTAGCATCTTTACTTCTTTTTTTCTTCTAAAAGCAAGACTTAGTAAGCATAATAGTATCTATAGTCTAGCATATCACTAACTTCAAATATTATTTTTACCTTATTGTAAAAATTTTGATATCAAATTAATTGTTATGATTGAGCCCAGAGCCAGCTATCAGTGACTTATAGATAAAGGAAAGTCTCAGATGGTGCCCCTTTCCAACCTATTTTTGTATTTCTGAATGTCAGGCATATTTTCCTTTTTGACAGTGTCCTCCCCCACATCTGCAGTAATGGTAGTAGCTTGTAAGAGGCATTTAGTTGTTTCGATTCCTTTTTGTCTAGATCTTACTGTCTTTTACAGATGTCACTGGGACATGGTAGCATTTCAATTCCCCCAGCTTGTGTTTTCTTCTGGTCACCTTTCTTTGCTTACTTACTTTGGTCTCCTGATTGATGTTTATGTGCCCGGCATTCCAACCTCTGCTTTCTAGAAGTAAGAATGTTGATATGTACTTTGCTGAGCCAGATGATGACTTCTGGGCCTTTGAACCTAAAGGAGGGGATCAAGAAAATCAAATTGCACCAATGGAGAGGTGCTGTGTTCCTTTCCAGTTGTTAACATATGTTGCATAGTGTAACTTGCCCCAAGGACTGCTAAGCAAATTTCTATTGAGTAGACTTCTCCAGTGCTTTTGTTCACAAGAACTTGCTTTCATGAAACATGCTGTGTGTAGAAGTCTCTGATTTGATTCACACAGAGCATCTAAAATGCAGACCAGTTTCTTTCCTTCTTTCTTTTATCATAACATGTAATTTATCCAGTGTGTAGGTAAAAAGCAAAATCTTTCTCAGAAATATCATATTTAATTAATGTTCAGTTTTATTTCTGTGTCCTCATAAAATACCTGATCAAAAAGCAACTTAGGGTAAAAGGAGTTTATTTTAGTTTTCAAGGCCAGGTTAAATTTTATTATTGTGGAGAAGTCAAGGCAGGAACTTAAATAGGTAGTCACATCACACACATCACATCTACAGTCAAGAGCAGAGAGAAAGAAATACATGCATGCTCACTTGCTTGCCTGTGCTCAGCTTCATTTCTCCACTTTTGCACAGTTCAGAGTACCCTGTCTAGGGAATTGTGCTACCCATCATGGGCTTGGTCTTACCACATTAATTAAGACAACTCCCCACAGATATGCCCATAGGCAAACCCACATTGAGAAACTCTTCCCAGGTGCTTCTAGATTTTGTCAAGTTGACACTTAAAGCTAACAAATCACACTGAATAAAAGCAACTGATTGATAAATTTATAACATCTTTCTCAGGAGGAAACCTTACTCAGCTAAATGGTAAGTAGTTAAGGTTTTGAGGGTATTATATCTAAGGCTTTATTCCTTCTATTTTGAATTGCCTCTTTTGGGGCACCTAATATGTACGATGCTAAAATTATATTTAATTCTGTTGGGCTTTTCTATTTACTAGTTGTGTAAATTTGGCTACGGATTGCTACTTTAAGCATATTACTTTATTTCTGAAAATTTAAAATATTTCTTAGCAAACATCTAGGAGGAAAATAAAAGCTAGAAATAACTGTGTTGTAATGGCCTGACCAGAGATGGTCAATAGTTTCAGCAAATGACTTAAAGTTAGCCGATAGATTATTTAAATGAACATTTTTGTTGTTGGTTTTAGGGAGTTTTTGGTGTGCTGTTTTGTTTTGGAAACACATCTGCCAACATGGCTGCCCTCTGATGGCATTATTAATGAAATTTAACAGAATGGATTGGCAATCTTGGTCTGTCCGGTTGTCCAAAGGAGGCTTAGACAGAGTACGTTTAGGGCTGTTAGTACCCTGCTGAATGTTGGCACTTAGCATGAGTGATTCTGAAGAACACTGATTGTTCCTTCAGGCTCTTAACACTGTGTCTGGATCAAGGCCAAAAGAATGTTGAAGAGTTACTCTACACATTATTTATTATTGCTAATCTTTTTCCATTTTCAACGACAGTGGAGAAAATAATACTTGAGGACTGAAGAGGCTCAGTTGTTAAGAGCATTTGCTACTCGTGTACAGGACCAAGTTCAGTTCCCAGTACTCACTTGTCAACTCACAACCGTCTATAATTACAAATATTTGAATGGAAAACTTCTAAGTTAAGAAAAACTAATGCAAATGGAGTTCCCTCCAAACTATATTTGATTTTGGCCTCTAAGAAGCTCTGATTTTTATGCTGTGTCATGGGGAACCCAGGAAGATTGTCACCCTGTACTTGGGAATAAATAATTCATGTTTTGTTTTTTTACTGAATTTCAATATTTTCTCCCACCCCATTCCACCCCCCCTTTTTTAAACAGATGCTGTTTTCCTTCTACCTTCTTTCTCATTTTCTCTCTCTCATGAAAAGAAACATGACTTTATATATTTCATTTGGTTTTGTTTTTCAAGTTAGAATAGGATCTGTAGTTAAGCAAGAGGATAACTTAATTTTTCCTCAACCTAAGTTGCTTTCAAAGGGCTTGTTCCCTATCCAAAAAATGCTGCAGGTTGGAGAAGTGAATGGCTTTATTTCATTGATTTTTTCAGCTGTTGGCCCTTAGCCTAGTTATTTGCAATGTTTGCAAATTATTTGACCTAGAATGCTTGCATGTTTTAAGAAGTTTTAGGGGACTGTTCTCATGATTGAAGTAAATTACTCAGACAGCAATGTGTTTATACATTATAGGGGTGCTAGGAAAGGAGGGGTTAGGATAGAGGTACTTATCTTGATCTCTCTACCTGCTCTTAATATGTTATTGCTTTTTATCTTCTTATGGTCTTGTCTTGTTGATGTACATATTTGCTAAGGTTCTGTTTTGCTTATTGCTTATCCGCAAAAGATGAGATTGAGTTTTAGTTTCCCTTTTTTGCTTATGCCTAGGATGGGTGGGAAGTAAACCACTGGGTGTTGATTGTATAGTGAAAATCTAGGGTTAGGCATCGTTTTCTCACATAATTGAGCCAGAAGGTCTGTTGGGGAGAAAGTTTGAGATGCCTTCTTCCTAGCATAATGGTATTGAATATTCCAAAAGTATTTTTGCCTTGTGACCTGGAAAGTATTGCTGGTTTTGGTAAACGTGTTTTGGGAAATGCATGTCTCTCTCAGAGGCCAAATGTCCTATGCCTTTTTTAAAAAAAAAGATATTTTAGATTTATTTTTATTGGCTATGACTATTTTTGTCATATTTTTGATATATTTGTCTACATGCATGCCTGGTTTTCTCTTAGTCCAGAAGAGGGTGTCAGATCCCTAGGAATTACTTGGAGTTAAAAATGGTTTAGAGCCACTATGTGGGTCCTAGAAATCAAACCTGGTCCTTGTGCACTTGCAAGAGCAGCAGGTGCTCTTAGGTGTGGAGCCATGCTCCAGTCCCATGCTCTCACTTGTACTTCTGTGATAAAGGTCTCTACAGGGATAAAGAATATCCCTATATGAGGGAAGGTAAGTATGGTACAGAAATTCCTCCAGCAATGGCTGATGATCAAGAGGAGAAGGAAGAACAGTGCTTAAGATGCAGCTCAGCAGTAGAGGTGTTTCCTTTCCCTGTTTTAGGTTCTGTCCACTAGAGTTGTTTTATAAGTTTATGTGTTCCTTTCCACATAAACACTTAGGATCAGTTGTGTGGACGGGACCCTACACTTACAGATGAGCTGCTAAATATCCTCACAGACCTAACTCAACTCAGCAAGACCACCAATGCTAAAGTGGCGCTGCGGGCTCGTCAGGTAAGAACATTTGCTAGTTATCTTGAAAGAGTGATACTTCTCATCGTTTGTACAGTTTTGGGCACAATGCACTTTCACAACGATAATGCAATGTTTTCATCTGATAACGTATTTTTTAAAGACAAAGTACATGGTTATTGTTGGGTTTCTCACTTTATAAAATACTGGTATTGTGGGCTGGAGAGATGGCTCAGTGGTTAAGAGCATTGCCTGCTCTTCCAAAGGTCCTGAGTTCAATTCCCAGCAACCACATGGTGGCTCACAACCATCTGTAATGAGGTCTGGTGCCCTCTTCTGGCCTGCAGACATACACANGGTGCCCTCTTCTGGCTGCAGACATACACACAGACAGAATATTGTATACATAATAAATAAATAAATAAATAAATAAATAAATAAATAAATAAATAAATAAATAAATATTTAAAAAAAATACTGGTATTGTTCTCTATCTTCTCTGCCAGCTCTCATTGTAGTAACAAACCAGGGTCAGGTGTAGGAAAGGAAACTGAGGGAAAGAAATGAACTCAGTATTTTTTACTTCCCAAAGGGAGCTTAGAGACAGATGAAAAGTTGTAAGTATATAGAAAATAATCAAGTGTGGAAAGCAGAAAGATAATGTCATGAATCTTCAGCACTAGCAATCAGAACAACCCCAGAGAAGTCCAGTTAGCTTCACCCTGTAGTCCTCATTTCCATTCCAAAAGGTTTCTGCAGGGAAGCTGAGAGTTCGCACTCCCTTTGTGTTTTCATTGCATGGGCATTGACAAGGACACAGCATTTGAAGCTGCTCAGTGACCTTCTGCTGTCTCTACAATTGTATCCATTTCACTGAACTCCTCAAAGTTATTGAACCTCTCAGTGACCTGCTGAGGATATTCAGGTCCTACTGACTCCCTGTTTGTTTGTGACACTGCTTTTACGTTCTGCCCCTCACATGTGTCAGTGTTAGCTCCTGATGCCTTCTTTTTGGCGCTGAGTACCTGGGGCTGTCAAAGCAGCTTTTCTTCTCTTTCTACTACAAAGTTGCAAAAGGCTAGCTATACTGCATCCACCTTCCCCACAGTTGCTCCTTGCCAGACCTGATTCCCAATTAACAGCTAGTCATGCAGTCCCCAAGACTAGCAGCTTTGCAAAGGTAAATCACATGCACTAATGGAACTTGATTGAAGTTGTTTGCTCTCCCTCCCCCCTACCTCTATGGGATATTGTCCACAGCATAAATCATGGTGAGAAGCAACTGAGATTCAGTATTTGGTGGCATTGACATTTATACTACAGGACCTAGACGTTGTTTTATTTGTTCTCTGTTTTATCTTTGATGTCTGCATTTATAGATTTATATTTATTGCTTTTGTATCAGGCGACCTAATATGAGCCTAAAATAATCACTCCCTCAGGAACTTATACCTCTTGTTTTGCCTTCATTCTAGGTTCTTATTGCTTCCCATTTGCCATCATATGAGCTCCGCCATAACCAAGTAGAGTCTATCTTCTTATCAGCCATTGACATGTATGGACACCAGTTTTGCATTGAGAATCTGCAGGTATTTATAATAGCCCCACCTACCACTTCACACTCCTGTTCCTTTTATTCTCCATAAGCATATTTCAGTTAAAGATTTAATAAATTAATTTGACTTCTGTGTAATGAAATTTTATTCCTTGAATTTTAAAAATGATTTGTTTTTTTTATAAAAATATTGCATGATTATAACTCAGCTTTAAAAATCAAATGGGCCTTTTTGGATAGAAGTGTCCTATTGAAGTTTCTATCTTTTGAAAGCATTCTACACCAGAATTAATTGGCAACGGTATTTGATTTCTGATGCTTGAATTAGATGCATACATAGATGACTGTTCCTCTTCTGGAGACAAAACTATTTAAATATCATCTAATTTTATTTTATTTTAATGCTTACATTACATTTTATAAAGAGCCAATTTTATAAAATTATTGGATAATTTTGCTACAAATGAAGGACTTCAACTTTTTTAAATAACATCATTTTCTTAGGGGTGCCTTTGTGTTCTCCTCCTTGGAAACCAGGGTACCATTGTTAATTGACCAAAGGAATCTTCATATTTCCTGTAGGCTTTCCTCCTAGGGAATCTAGAAGCAGAAAGAGGTAGATTTTTTTTCTGTGGTTCATAGTGTAAATCTAGGGTTTCTATTAGCTTTCAAACCTGGAATTTCTGATAGTGGAGTATTTGAGAAAGTACAAATAGAGGTCTGAAATGATAATGTTCATAAGCACTTATATTGGCATATTATTGATACATTTTGATAAACATTCTAAGAATTTTGTATGTCTTAATCCATCTAATCCTTAAGGCAAACCTGTGAGACAAGGTATTATTATGTTCTCCAAAACCATTATGTTCATATTTGGCATATATGAACCAGTAGAATTTTTAGGTCGCACTGAGTATTTCGATATCCTTTGCCTTTCAGAAACTCATTCTTTCGGAAACATCTATTTTCGATGTCCTACCAAACTTTTTTTACCACAGCAACCAGGTGGTGAGGATGGCAGCTCTGGAGGTGAGTATTCTGGTTTGTGGTACAGTTCTCTCCATGGGTTTGCTGGAGTTTTCTGTCTGGTTGATGTCATGCCCTTTCTTTTCTCTTGGTCTTTTCTTCTGGAACACTAAATGCTTACTTGGCTACTTTACCTGCTGTTTTATCTGCATTAATCGCCAGCTCCTAGGTCTAATAACAGGGAAATAACTGCCAAATTTTTAAATAGTCTGTTTTCCAGATATTTGAATTTTTCTATTTCATAATAAATAAGACTCACAGCATAAATCCACCTATTATATCTTACCATTTTGTGATTTGAGCCAAATGTTAGTTATATAGTGTCTAATGAACTGTGGTTTAGGTGCATTACTTTTCCATCTAATCCTGTATTTCTATAACATTAAAAAAAAGCGAGACTTTGAGGTGAGGTGACTTGCCCAGAAAATACAGATTTATTTGAACTTGGGACAGTCTGACTCCAAAGACTGTTCTGTTGCACCACAGCATACCACCTCATTAAACACAAAAATTGCAAACCCTGAATGCTTCCTTAACATAGCCAAGTAGATATATTTTGAAAATGAGAGGGAGAAGTTTTTTCAGTGATTTCATGTAATAGAACATCACATAGTCTGTTGTTAGCTTTCTTGAGTTATTTTTTATTTGTACTCTGTGGTTAAAGTGTAAAGTATCCTACTCAGTAAATATCAAATATTTGAAATATCTTGGTGTTTTTCCAGGCTTTCATGTCATTTAATTAAATGCCTTCTCATATGCCTCACCTGCTGATAGAACCTCATGTAGCATGTTATGTGCATGGCAAATTGAATACGAAGTCTGGGAGTATGAACTGCTGGTCTTTGCTGAGATATACTCTGTTGCTGTTTCTTTAACTATTGGATAGAGTTAGTGGGTTTGAGATATTACATGTCACATTATTCCTCACTGCTTTTTCATGTAGTTGAGGATGGAAATCCTTCAGAACTGATTTGGGGCAGTCAGATTGGAGGTGGTGGTGGTGGTACAAGATAGATTTAAAAAAAAAAAAAAAGTAGCCTGGAATAAGCACCTCTTGCTTTTCTAACTGCTTGATTTCTCTTCTGTTATGCTAATGAATTAGACATTTCCTTGTTTCAGCCATCCTCTTCATTTCTGTTTCTGAAGTATATTTACTAGGGATTATTTTTTAACCAGGTATATGTTCGAAGGGCTTATATTGCCTACGAACTTAACAGCGTACAACACCGCCAGCTTAAGGACAACACCTGCGTGGTGGAATTTCAGTTCATGCTGCCCACATCTCATCCAAACAGGTGAGCTTGAGCTGGTACATACACCTGATCTAGCCAGTGGCCTAAGACATAGTCAAGGGGAGTGCTAAATGACAATTCCTTGATATTTGCAACAAGAAATATAAATAAACAAATGGACAGATTTGAACTGAGAAGAGCTTCTTAATGCCTGTGTCTTCTGGGGAAAAGCAGCGTGTTTCTAGGTGGTTAGGGTTATTCTGTTCATTCTTGTTTGTATATGTAATTAAAGACCACCCTCTCACCTCCCTCCATTTCTTCTTTCTTCCCTTCTTTTGATTCCTTCTTTCCTTTCTCACATGAACATTTGACTTGCCAGACCACCCCCAACACATACTCTAATTTAAGACATCAGTTGAAACAGACAAGAATGCTGTGTACAAGTTCTGCTTTGTCATGTGCTAACCAGGGTTAATCTACCTGAGCCAGTCTCCTTCTGCCTTAACATTAACACCCGAATTTAACAGTGGTAAACCAGTCAGGCTTTTCTTTTTCTTTTCTTTTTTTTGTATTCACACTTGAAAGCCAAACTTCTTAAATATAGATCAGTTGCTTAATTGGCCATCTAGTTCCATTATTTTTCTCTTCCCACATCCTTTAAAATGTGCATATGTAAATTTGGTTTTGCTTTGGGTCTAAAATGAAATTATTTATATACCCATTTAAAAATATTCTGTGACAGTGAAATTCTAAGATTTCCAAGATACACATGTTCATTCCCTCCTGTATTTTTATTCTTTTTAGTAACACCACAGGAAATATAAATACCACAGCCAATCATACTCTGCTTCTCTCCATTTCTTCTTTATTGCCTTTGGTTCTTCGCATGGTATTACAAACCACTATGTCTTTGGGGATCCTTAGTCATAGACATCAGAAATGGTTTTGTTCTGAATTGCCACTTCACCCAAAGCAATAGAGCCTTTGTGGAGACAAAGAAGTCTGTGCTAAGACTTTTGGCCACTGGATGCCACTGTTGATCCAGCAGAGGTCGACTGATAACAGAGGCATCTTCAGGAAAGTATGTCTCTTCTTTGTCTCAGAAGATCCTTTTACTTTTCCACCTCAAAAAATATCTTGTGGCTGGCAGAGAAAAGCATATATCCTTGATTTAGCAAGCATCTCAGTGCGTTTTTGCCTCCATGGATTTCAGAATCTCATTTTCTAGAAACGAATGGTTGTCCTTCATCGAGCAGCCAAGTACTTGTGGCACATATGGGCTTGGCACTAGGTCTTTCTTTTCCAGCATTCCTTGAATAATTGTAGAGAACTACATGCTATACTTAATTCTCTGTAATTCTCAAGACAACCTCCCTTTCTTCCTGCTTTCTCCTGCCTCTTTCTTGTGGGCAGTGATTTGTAGTCAGCCTGCAGGGCTCATTCTGATGACTTCCTTCCACATTGCTCCCCTTGTCTTTGTGAATTGCTCTCACCCTATCTTTTTTCTTTTTACATTTGCGTGTGTGTATGTGTTGTCTGTGTATATACATGTGAAGATATCTTGCAGGAGTTGTCTCTCTGGCACTGTCTTTTAAATTTTGAGGCTATTTGTTTAGTTTGATAAAAAAAAAAGATGACTAGAAATTGAAAGTAATGCTTAACTGTTTTGTTTAGAAGCCTTATTCACCTTTATACATGAAGGAAGTAAGTCTTGGTTAGTGCTGATATGGCTTCAAAGTGTTTTTGTTTCTCCCAACAGACATAATGTATATACTCCCATGAATAAAGGCCAGGTTTGAAAAGAAATATAATCTATAGGTTCTAAAGTTTCCATTGATTATGTGTGTAATTGTAAAGTTGCTGGAATGTTATTATTATTAGTAGAAATAGTGTTTATATGGATGTGCAAGTGAAGACAAATGCAAAATAAAGTTAAATAATCTTTGTGAAAATTTTAAATATCTGCTGAAGAGATGCTTAGTCAGTAAAACACTTATCACACAAAGATGAGGACCTAAGTTTAGATCCCCAGCACCCATGTGAATGTCAGGTACAAGGAATACATTTGTAACCCCATACTGGAGAGGGAGAGACAGGCAAGAATGTGTGTATGTTCACACCTGAGCATGCATTTGCACACACACACACACAAATCTATAAATGTGTAAATTAATTTAAGCTCTAAAGCCTTTTTTTATATAAGTTTAAGATCTGATGATTACATTTGACCCCAGAATAATATATTTAGTTTCAGAGAATAGCTTATTCAGAAAGTTATAGATTTGCTATTTGATTTTATATTCGATAAGATTTTATATTTGCTTACAAATATATTTGGAATTATAACCTTATTCTGATTCCAATTGATGGATTACAATTCAGTTTTGATTCTACCCATATCAGATTTGACCAGATACTATCAAGCAGGCACGTGGCCTTCCATGGAACATCCCTAGGCCTCCCATATTTCTGATCATTGGACTGCAAAGGTGGTGGTGGTGGTCTCTATAGTTTCTTCAGTTTAATAATTTTGCAGAACCTAAGCACCACAGTTTTATTTGCAGCTCTGTCAAAGCTCTTATGTCATTCAGGCTGCCCCCTCAATTCACAGCCCCTCTACCTCAGTTTCCTGAGTGCTAGGTGTATGGTTGTACCTCATTGTGCTTTGCCCTGGTTTTACTATAAAGACTAAAGATCAGGACTAGGCAAATGAAACCTATGGAGGAAGTCTGGGAGAACTTCAAATCCAGTGTCATCGTTCTTCCTCTGTAGAATCAAGGCACACCACCTTTTCCTTCTCAGCACATCCGTGTATTCACCAGTCAGGAAACTCCCAACAATCTTGTGTTGGGTTCTTATTGGGATTTTATTTCATAGGCATGATGGCACAAATCATAAGCCAAGTGAATGTACTCAATCTTTCCTCCCCTGAGGTCAGGCTAGGACAAAGCACTAAGCCTTTGACCACATAGTTGGTATTTCTAGTGACTGACCAGTTTCTGTCTGGAGTCATGTCACCTCTTAGCATAAGCTTAGATGAGATGCGTGGGAGGCATAAATAGCAAAATGTGCTCCCACTGCTTGGGAAACTCCAAGGATTTAGAGTCTTTCTGCTAGCAACTGAGAAAATGGCTGAAAACTCTCAATAAACCTGTTACCCCCTTTTAAAAATTCTTAGCTAATTTTTTATAACTCTATTATTTTTCTTTCATTGTGTTCTAAGGATTATCAAAATTATTTAAACAGTATCTTTAAAAAACACACACACATATTGGTATCCTGGTATCCTATCCCTGATTTATTTTGGATTAGAGTCCCTTCAGTGACTGTTTGTAAAGTTCCTCTAATAGTTCAACACAGTGTAGTAGAATCTAATGTAAGCCACATATGTAATTTTAAATTTCCCACTTGCTACTTTTGAAAGTATAAAAAGAAACAATTGTAATAACATATCATTAAAATCAATAAAATGAAATATCTTTTTAATATATAATAAAAATATTAATGTAATATTTTTTCTTATTCATATTTAGTCCTTGAAATTCAGTTAATTTTACATATATAACATACTTCAATATAGACTAGCTACTTGTCTATCACTCCATGACCATACACAGGTAGTTACTGCCATACTGTTCAGCTCAAATCTAGGCCAAAATTTAATTAGGACAATTATATTGAGTCCTTTTATTTTATATTCATGGTCTTGTTCTTAGGAGAGAGGGGGTAAAACACATCTTAGGTTGCTATTCTTAGTAGTTACAGGAAGTACCACACCAGATACAGAATTATAACACTTTACACGTACTTCAATAATTGCTCTGTTAAAATAGAGAATGTAGAATCACATACCAATGCAAAGCAGATTAAACCTTTTCTCCAACTGGAGTTAACAAATAAAAAATTTTGGGGGAAGAAAATACTTTTTTTGAGTGGCAGGTATCTTTTTGAGACAAGGCCTTAAAATACAGCCAAGGCTGGTCTCGAACTTAATATGTATCCAAGAATGACTTTGAATTCTAGATCCTCCTGTCTTCACTTCCTAAATGGAAGGATTACAGACATGCTGGTTTAATAACAACATCCTATTTAACCAGTTACTTTTGCATTTCCTAGTCCTTGACTAAAATTGTTGAGCATGGTGTTAGGAATGTCTTTGTAAGCTGTCATAGCTATAAAAACTGCTAGAATTCCCACTATTGATTTGACCCCCATACGTTGGAATAGAACATGGTTCTTTGTCTGTAACCTGGCAGCAGCAGTGAGTTTTGTTGTTTGTTCAGGAAAATGCTTCAGATACCTTTTGTATTGAAGGCCTATGTTTTGTTAGATTTATATTTGTTATACTTGCTTAGATTGTTGAAACATAGGCAAAAGCACATTTGCAAATGAGTAGGGCAGCTCTAAACAAGGGAAGGTTCCTTTTTAGTACACTTGGTTAATTAATTTATAAAGTTTTCTCAAGGCTTTTCTTCAGTATTCTATTTATTTTTATGTACATGTTTTGCCTGAATATATGTCTGCATCATGTCCCATGTCCATGCCTGGTGTCCTCAGAGGCCAGGAGAGGACATTGGGTCTCCAGAAACTGGAGTTATAAATGGTTGTGAGGCACCATGTGGGTGCCGGGGAATTAAGCTGCATTTCTCTGGAACAGCCTCCGAGCCATCTCTGGTTCCCTCAATGATTTTCTTTGTTTTAAATAGGTTGCTAGTTCTTTGCTAATCCCTGTGATTTCCTCCCTCATCCTTACTAGGCATCCTTTATTTGGTGTGTTATTTTCTTCTTGAACTTAAAATTGCCCGGTTTTCTCTGTGGACTGTAGTTTCAGCTTACTTGGCTTCCTTTGTGTTGCTCATCAGAGCACCCTGTTTTATTCAGACGTCCCTGGTCTAGAGTTACCTTTTTCTTCGTATTCCCTTCGTTTGACTAGTAGCTAAAGGGTAATTAGGGACCGGTGACACGTCTATTTTCGTATATTTCCTTTTAAAAAAGAAAATATTAGAATTTAGATTTTATTTGCTATTATGTATAATTTTCATTTTCCAAGAATCAGTTTTAAACTGTGAATTGTAGCCAGTTAGCAGTTATCCTTGAGGAGATGTATGTAGGATTCCTCAGTTATTTTCTTATGTAAGTATAGTTGGGACAGCTTCTCTACTTCAGGAAACTAACTCTTAGTTTTCAGAGTCCATGAGCCCAGCTCTTTGAGTTCAACTAGTTTTTTACTTGGATTGATCCTAGAGCTCAGGCTTTATCATTTGCCATTTTTCTCATTAAGGCTTAAGGTCTGTTGTATTTGTATTCCCTCCACCTCACCCCACTCCCGTCCTCACCCTTTTCCACTTTTGAAACAATAGTATCATTTACTAGTGCTAAAAATGCCAAAACCTTGTTATACTGAACCATTATCCTAATGCCTCTTTTTTTTTTTTGAAGGTTTGTTAGATGATTTGATATTAGGGATTTCACCTAACCTTGAACATATTAAATGTCTCAGAATAATGTAGAACAGAATAATGAAGAACAAGTTTTTCAGTTACTCTGTGTAGTGAAAATTCTAAAATATATTTTTTAATTATACAAATATGTCTAAAGCACATTATGATGTAAGTTCTGTGACTGCATTTGGCTCTATATTGTTGACAGTCTGGGAGTACAAAACTTAAAACTGAAAATAAATTTTGTATATAACACATAGTATTTAACTTAGGCAGTTTTTAAAACATTTCATGATTCACTTAAGTATGAAAGATGATGCTAGTGATGAAGGTGAATATATACTTGCTGTATTTTTCCATGCATATTTCATAATGGGTAAGGACCTTTAGTGTTTCTACCTATTTCTTAGATAAAAATCCATGCTTTAGTTAAGTTGGGTTGCATTGCATTTTCTGTGGTGTTTGTTCCCTGTAAATCTGGCCTTCTGTGTTTGAGTGCTTTAGCTCAAGTACTTTGCTTTTCTCATGCCTTACACTCAGAAGAGGTTGGCTGTGTTCTTCCCTGATAACACATTTTGTTTTTGTTCATAGCTGGGTTTAGTGGTTTGGCACCTTAGGTTTTTAGTTGTTGGTCAGTAGTCTTTAGACCTTCTTTTTATTTGTGAAGAAAGTTAGAAATGAGAAATCTTTCATGTGACTGACTAATCAGCAGCCTGCCTTCATTCTTGAGAATGTTGATAATCTTTGACATCCAGAGATTAGAACCCTCTTTTGTATAGTACTGAGACACTCAAGTCATCCAACTTGTAGCATTTTTAGCAATGGGAACACTTGATTGTAGTTAGCAGGGTAGAATGAGCTATAAATAAATATAATCCTACAGTGCTTGCTTTATTCATTCAGGGTAGTCTGTTGATAAAATGCAAGCATCCGGCAGAAGAGAAGATTCTCAGCAGGTTTAAGTGCTTACCAAAGTGCTTTCCTGTGTCCATGGCTCAGCTTCTAGCCTCTGCTGTATTATTTTGGCACTCAGGACTTGTAAGATTGGAGAGTCGAGTTTAAAACTCTCAATATAATATTAGTGTAGCCCAAGGTCTTCTTGTCAGGGAAGACTAGCTGGTTCTAGGGGGAAGGAAAAGCAGAATCCAGGGCATCTGTCAATCCCTGTAGTTTTGTGCTGTGGATTGGTAGCTAATTATACAGCAGGCAGCAGTAATGTATTGTAACCCTGTTGGCATCCCTGTTTCAGGAAGAGCACAATCTTCCGTCAGAGCAAAGAAGGGGCTTTGAAGAGGCTGCAAATGAATGAGGCAATAATCATTTTATTGTAAACCGAAGCTTTGCTATGGAATCAGGGCATCTGAACTGTGAGGAGATTGGGGAGGGACACCAAGAGAAATTTGTTGTTCAGACATATTTTTTACAGTTCTTGATTTGGATTCTTCTGCTGAAATACAGTCACATGAGGAGACCACCACTGGTCACAGCCAGTCAAATTGCTCTTTCTCCTGTGGTACTATTGTTACTGGCTGCTAGTAGGTTACTCAGCCGACCTCTTCTGTTTCTGCTTTGTTGCTTAATTTCAAAAGATTTGCCCTGTACTAACTCTCAGCCACAGCTTGATATAACCACTGCTGATTTGCATGCATCCCTATCATTTTTATAGGGTTCTTTTTTTTTTTTTTCAGTTAGAAGGCAAAATAACCAGGAACATTTTTATATGATATTAGATCTGTGTAGGGGCTATCTAAAACCAAGCAAAACGAAATTCGGCTGTAAGGGGTTGTATAAGGCTCAAAGAACTTGAAACGGTCAGAGAAGTCAGTGTTTGTTATATTAAAGAGGACTCAGCTAGAACTCTAACTTTGCATTCATACAGGCTCCGTAGCCATTCTAGGTTGGTGGTTCAATAAAATGAGAAGTAACTTAATGTCAAGAATTTCAGGACTCAGAAAACTTCTATTGTCCTTTAAAGTCTATATTGATGTTGATCAAATTCTTAACTGATCTGATAGCAGCTCCTGTACAAATAATCTTTAATGATATGACTAAGCATTGGCCTGTTAAAAAATAGTTTGTCTTTTCCTCTCATTCAACTTTTTTATGACCCCTAAATTCTTACTCTACCAATGAGGATGATTGATTTGATTTGGAACTGTTCTTTTAATTAAATGACAATATTGGGAGGTTTTGCCTCCCCCTCTTTTGCCACACTGTGTAATAAGTATTTTCTATGACAAAGCAACAGGGGCTCCCTATGAGAACTTGAAAATTTCTGGTGGTGAGGGGACTAGGGTAGCTACAGAAGTAATGAGTCCATTTTATTAGTTTAAGAATTTGGTTAACAGTTGACTTGTTCTGGTTCTGAAACTCTGCAAACCTAGATGAATGGAGTCAGAGATTGCTTTGGTTATAGGTTTCTTCTCTCTGAACTGGGTTCCTAGTAAGAGAACCACTGTGCTAGTGACTTCATTGTTTAGAGTAAAACAAAAGAGTTAAAACACTTCTGGTTTTTTTTTTTTTTTGACCATCTGTACTAAATTTTCTGTTTAGCTACCCCCAGCTTTGCTGTAGAATCTGTGTATTTCCTGTATTCATGAGGTTCCATTTTCCGAAGTGAGAGCTCATGGAATCCAGACAGTAAAGAGTTTTGCACTTCAAGTAGGTCTTGTTGTCTTATGAGCTCGCCCTGACACAGGTTTAATACAAAGAGCATCACTGCTCACAAATCACACAAGGTGTATAGTTTGTGTGCAGTGATATGTCACAGCCTTTTATTTATATGGCCAGTTCAGTCTACCTTGCTCCTTTCATTGCCTTGGAAAATGCATCATTTTCCTTCTCTAATCCTTCTTCCCACACATCAGCAGTACTACCCGGTATGTTTTGCCCATTAAGACTTCTGTATGCCAGAAAACACTAATAATGATTCTGTGCTGTTAAAAGAATGTAAGAGGGTTAAGAAAGCAACCAGTCAATCCTCCTTACAGTACCCCTAAATTGTGGCTGATATTCCTTTGCTACTTTAACTTTGAAAGTAAGAGTTTTTGTTTGATTCATTTTTCTGTTTGCAAATATCTGACATCAAAATTCTGAGAAATACTTTCAAATACCAAAGAGAATTCAAGAGTCTTGCCTTATTTCCTCTTTGTTTAATTCAGTCTGTTTGCTTGCTTGCTTGTTTGTTTATTTCAAGACAGGCTTTCTCTGTGTGTCCCTGGCTTATCCTGTAACTCACTCTGTAGACCAGGCTGCTTGCACTAGAGATCTGTCTACCTCTGCTTCCCTAATTCTGGGATTAAAGGTTTGCACCACCACCACCACCACCACCTGCCTCAATCTTTCTTTCATGAATTTGGCACATCCTTTATAAGGAAGTTAAAACTAGTCAAACTTAGGTACAGTTTTATTTATGAAAGGCCTAGAGTTTTCAAACTAATAACAATTAAAAATAGTTATCCTAAACTCATTTAATTAAAGAATATTAATTGTAGCAAGTTTTATCACACTAGTAGTATAACTTAGGTTCCTCAGAATTTTCAGTACTCATAAACTCCTTTGCCCTAAGAAACCTGGTGCCTTTCAGAAAGGAAGAGGTGGCTGAATTTCAGGGTGTCTGCATCAGTAGATTAATTTCCTTAGAGGAGATTGTAGATCCATTACATATTCCAGAAAAGCAATAAGGCAGTAGGAGCTATGGAACCATCATCTTATTGTGCCGTTATAATAGGAGCAAGGAATAATTTAGAAATTTTGTCAGGGATCATATTTCATGTTTTAATGTATGATATAATATAGCTTGACTATTTACCAATCCATGTTTTACCTCTATTCAACATTATTTTTTTGTAATGAGAGTTATTTAGAGAAAAAAAAAATCTGGGACTGGAGAGATGGCTTAGTGCTTTAAGAGCATTGCCTGTTCTTCCAGAGGTCCTGAGTTCAATTCCCAGCAACCAGATGGTAGCTAATAGCCATCTGTAATGAGATCTGGTGCCCTCTTCTGGCCTTCAGAAATACGTGCAGAAAGAACACTGTATACATAATAAATAAATCTTTTTTAAAAAAAATCCATGGTAAATACATCTGGACCCTGTCCTCAACAGCTGCTGTGGTGAGGTAGGTCAGGAGGATGCCTCTTTGGAGGCACCATGGGGATTGAAGGGTAATGAGCACTTAATTACATTTGCTGATACCAGAGCTGCTAAACTGGAGCTCCTGGTGACTGGTCTGTATCTACTCTGACAATTCTTTTATTATGGCTTTCACTAACCTATCAGTAACTAACTGTGGTTGTTTAATTACAGAGGGAACATCCCCACGCTAAACAGGTACCGTATATTTAGTTTCTTTTCCAACTAAAAGCACCCTCCCCCAGTAACATAAAATAGTGAAACAAGGTAAAAAAAACAATACTATAGTCAACAAACTAATGTGTTATCTTCTGCTAGGGAATCCTCAGGTTCCCCTTGGGCATACTGAGTTGCTCTTTCTGTTTGGAAAACATGTCTTCAGCTGTTCCAAAAGTACTTAAAAAGTGTCAGTGCGGCAAAGACCACTTTGAGCTCTGCTTGAGAGGGAGTGTGTCAGCTGATGTTCAGCATTGCTGGCAACATCTTGCTGAGTTCTCATTAGAGCTGGGGCTTTCAGAGGAGAAACCCTTAAGGTTACTCTTCTTAGCCTGGCAAATTTTTCATAGTATTTTCAATTTTTAGTTTCTCTAATTTGCTTCTCTTTTTAGAGGAATAAAAGTCCAGAAATAGCTGATCTCATGTTTCATCAGTTTGTTAACTGTTTTTCTAAAGTATTATGATTTAAGTCATTTTATTTTATACTTGTAAGAGTATCATTGGAAAAATATATTAAGTCTTGTTACATTGAGCCGTGAGAGAAGTTTCCAAGTCTATATATGCAACTGATACTTTAATATGTGTTTTGCATTTCTCTGCTTCCTCAGCCAAGCAAGGTCACATGCAAGTTTGAGAGGATAGCAATTCTGACTGGACTAAATCCACAAAATGCTAAAGCAGTGACAAGTTGATGGCAAATTCTTTGTAGATGCTGCATGTGAAAATGTTTATAATCTTACATTTTTTTCTCTCCCTTTAAAATACTATGTAACTAAAACAAATTATAGCCTTATAGCTCTATTTAAATGTGGGTGGCGGGGAGTATGCTTTTCTAAGCCCTTGGTCTTCCCTTAGCGTGTAAGCTTGGTTCAGTTCTGCCAACCTTAACTGTTCGGGCCCATGAGCACAGTGGTAGAGGGAAACTGAATCATGTATATATTTCCCATGGGGTTCCATCAAGTGAAAAAGATGTTTAACCCTATGTTTGCCACAAACCCAGCCTGTTAGCTTATTTAGAGGGGGTTCTGTTTAAATGTTTTCTGGAACCCTTTGCCTCTTTCCTGTCTAGTGATAGGCAAATAGAAAAGGTGCCTCACAAACTTGCTCCTTTGATAAGTATACTTGGTGATCCTAGAAATCAGGATAATAGCATTTCTGACTTAATACAGCTCAGAATCCCAGTTTCTAGTGAGCACCATATATAAAAGACTTGCTTGATGTGTGCTTCATTTGTTTGTTTCACTCATGGTATCAATGGTTTCCTCTTTCAGTCTGCCTTCTCTTTCCCAATACTGTTGAAAAATGAAGTTCCTTTCCTATTGCCATCGCTTACCAAAAGAATAAAAACCATGAGTGTGAGTCTCTTTAGTCTGTGTGAGCAACATTCCCATCCTACAAAGCACCTCATTGCCTTTTATAAATATGATTTTTCAGAGGGCCCAGACCTCAAGCTCACATTCATTGTTCTCTCTTCCTCCTGCAACATTGCAGGTGGTGTTCTTCAGGGAGATTTTTAAATAGTTTTCCAAAGTGCAGGTGTCATCATCTCACTCTGAACTTACTTCAGATCGATGTGCCAGTAATGTGTCTTACGAATCCTGGTGGCATCCTTTAGCTTGGTCCTTTTTAACAGGCTGTCCCGATTGGTCAATCATTAATACCTTATGATATTATTTATAAGTACATTCTGCTGAGATGCATCAAAGAATATTCATATTCATTTTGGATTTAGATTGGACAAATCAATTCAGCTCTCTTTAAGCATCTCCATTTAGCAACTGCTTGTCATGCTTACACATACTTTGAGACCAATGCTCTGCTTTTGTATCTTGCTAAAAGTTAATAAGGCTTTCAGTAGAGGTATTTTTGCTCTAGTACAAAAGTGTTTAAATTTAAAAAGGAACTTTTGCAATATGGGCTTAAACTCTTTCAGAAAGGGAGAACTCTAATCAGTAAATTTCTCAGTCTACCAATAGAAAGGATAAATACCTCAATAAAGTTCCTTTAGAGGACTTCTGTTCCACAAATAACTTGCTAGAATTATTTACTAAACTACTTCATTCTTCTTAATTAGAATTACTATTTGATATCTATAAAACTGTGTCTGGGAATGTTTAACCTATTACAATTCCTAAGGAAAAATGTCTTAAATGTTGAATAATGGTAACTCACTTGGCTTGTCTTTTTTTTTTTGAGAAAAGGAGATGGGGAAGATGCAGGATGGTTTTTAACCCCTATGTGCTGCTTGTTCACCCAATCTATCAAACCGTTCTGTTACAAACTACCATAACATCCCTGGTAGTCCTTAGATGTCTATCTGAAGAACTTTTGGAGTGACAAAAAAATAGTGCTGAAAAATTCAAACAAAGCACGAATCTTGCTACAGCCTTATCTGTAGTGGGGAAAAAAACAAAACCAAAAATGAACAATAGCAACAAAAACCATATCTGCTCTGTAACCTGACCCTACATGAAAGTTTTCTCCACACCCCTTTTCCCTTGTTAATCTCCCAGTCCTTGCTCCTTGTCTAATGAACTTGATTTACTGTTTAGAATGTCCTTTGCCTCCAACCTCAACCACTATGGCATGACTCATGTAGCTAGTGTCAGCGATGTTCTGCTGGACAACTCATTCACTCCACCTTGTCAGCGAATGGGCGGAATGGTCTCTTTCCGGACCTTTGAGGATTTTGTCAGGTAAGGCATTAGGAATGTGTCTGTACAAGGGAAGCCATGGACTTCTAGTTTTGGGGAATATCACTTTACTGAAAAATAAAGCTTCCCCTGAAGAGTCATGAGCCAGCCAAAGAGATACAGCCTTCATTGTATATACCCTCAGAGAGATAGATATCTTCTGATTTCTACTCCTTGTTGAGACTCTTAGCTTCTCCTTGCAGTATAAAGCCTGGACAGGAAAAAAAGAAAAAAGAAACAATCATCTTTTCCTCAGGAACTAACAGAAGAAGCTGTCTGCTCTGTGATGAGTGAAATGTCAGGAGAAATTAAACACAACACTAGAGTGAGTCCCACTAGAGACGATACATCTTTTGATTAAATGCATTCAGCATCTATCTCTTGATGTATACTGATGCATTACCCTAGGGGGAGGGGTAATTACATTGGCCTGTCGCTGCTCCAGTCCCAGGCTCCTTCTGTTACTTTAAGAGCGATGATGACAGCACTGCACATATCTTACATATGAAAACAAAACAAAATCAAAAAAGCTTTATATCATTTTTTTAAAAGAAAAAATATATAGGTTTATTAAAGTTTAAACAATCCATCCTACTAATTTCTGCCACTTGGTGATATTTTGCATGTCATTTCTAGCTATTGGTATTTCTATTCTGCTGACTGTTGAGCACACTATAGGATAGATTATTCTTTTAGACTCATCTACCATGGCAACATTAGTTTCCTGCCACTTGAGTTTTTATTGTGGATGTTTCTCTGGTGATTTTTTAGGATCTTTGATGAAATAATGGGCTGCTTCTGTGACTCCCCACCCCAAAGTCCCACGTTCCCAGAGTCTGGTCATACATCGCTCTATGATGAGGAGAAGGTATGGTACTCTCTTTGGAAGACTACATTTCTCTCTCAGACATAGTACTTATTTTTTTGTTTTGTTATTTTGGTTTTTAAAGACAGTTTCTCTGTGTAGTCCTGCTGTCCTGGCTCTCACTCTGTAGACCAGGCTGGCCTCAAGCTTACAGAGATCCACTTGCCTCTGCCTCCCAAGTGCTGGGATTAAAGACGTGCACCACCACAACCAGCTCCAGACATGGACTTGTACTATACTATATCTTTCTGACTTTGGAATGGTACTTTTATAATGTGATATATTACTTGATTTTGTATGTCTCTTCAAAATACTTTAAAAAATAATAAATGGAGCCAGATGGTGGTGGTGCATGCCACCAATTACACAGAGAAACCCTGTCTTGAAATATTAAAAAAAAATAAATGGATATAAACTCTAAAGGTGGAATTTGATATTTTGTTTTTAAAGGTGTCCTTTTATTAAATGAAATCCCTTCTTCTGATTTCTCAGTAAATGAATATTCTGTTCTTTCCCTCCCTTGTTATCCCATGTTTTGATAAATCCATCATTTGATACCATGTGAGGAACTATAGTAAATGGGAGTATGTTACGCAGCTTTCTTTCCCTCCTGCAGATTGTTTAACTCCCATTTTGCTGGAGACACCGTGACTTTCTTTTTTTTTTTTTTTTTTTTTTTGGTTTTTTGAGACAGGGTTTCTCTCGAACTCACAGTGATCTGCCTGCCTCTGCCTCCTGAGTGCTGGGCTTAAAGGCAACACCGTGACTTTCAAGTTTGTTTCAAGAATTGAAGCTACCTTAAACTGCTGCTCTTGATGTTTTATGTGCTTTATTTAGCTCTGCTATGACAGTTGGGCAGTAGTTTGAGTGTGCTTTTTACTACTGAGTAGCAAACCAGAATATCCTATTGCTACTGTTCTACTAGGTACTGTGACTTATTCCAGTTTTTGTAGCAGCCAGCTTCATAATCTTCTTTGGTTTGTATTCTTGGTTTACAGGTCCCCAGGGATGAACCAATACACATTCTGAATGTGGCTATCAAGACTGATGGTGATATTGAAGATGACAAGCTTGCAGCTATGTTCAGAGAGTTCACCCAGCAAAATGTGAGTCTTTGACTAGCTTAAAGATGTTGGTGGCTTTTTCTACCTGTGAGGTTGGTTTTTTTTTTTTTTTTTTTTTTTTTGACAGGATTTCCCTGTATAACTGCCCTGGCTGTCCTGGAACTTGCTTTGTACAGCAGCAGGCTGACTTTGAACTCACAGAGACCCACCTGCCTCTGCCTTCTGAGTGCTGGAATTAACCATGCCTGGCTTACTTGGAAGGTTTTTCATTGATTGTCTTTTATCATAACTCTCAAGACTATGGCTAGTTTTGCCTACTGGAAGAAAATTCCAAAGTAATTTAATTATCTATAATGAATATCTTTTTTATAATCAGACCTCAGATACTCATTTTTTTTTAAAGTATGTTTTCTAATCTCTCCTAGAGTTTTAGTTTTGAACATTCATTGTTCAATCTTGAGTTCACTGCTGAATATTTCCATTTTGTGGCAAGCTCCATATGTACCCAACTCCATGCAGGTTCTTTCTATGCTGTCTTCTGCTCCCCGCCCCCCATTAAAATATTTGCAATACTTCCAGCTACCTTTTCAGGTTTTTGATATTGTTGTTGTTGTCACTTGAGTGTATATCACATTGTTATTAAATTCCATACTCAACACTTAGATTCTTGTCATTTTTATTTATTTATTTATTTTTATTTATTTGAAAAAAATTACCGCCTCCTCCCCGTTTCCCGTTTCCCTCCCCCTCCTCCCAAGTATCTCCCCCTCCCCCCTCTCCCCTTCCCCTCTCCCGATCCCCTCCACTCCATTCCCCCTCCCTCTCATGAATGATGAGCAGATTCTTGTCATTTTTATTGCTTCTCCTGAGATGTTTTCCTGTCTCTCGTGTGCCCTTCCCCCTCCCTCAGTTCTGAAGGAATTATATCAAATTTTGCCTCCTTGGTAGGACTAAGTAGCTAACCTAACTTCATCTTTTAAATGATTACTACTTGATCAGCATAGATACATACAAGAGAGGGTATATGTGTGTGTTTGTGTGTGTGCTCGCATACTTTTTTTTTTTTTTTTTTTGGCTTTTTGTTGTTGTGGGGGATTTTGTTGTTGTTGTTCTGAGACAAGATGTCACTGTGACTACCTGGAATTCACTGTGTATACCAGGTTAGCCTCAAACTCAAAGAGATATACCTTCCTCTACTTCCCAAGTATTTGAGATAAGTGGCAGCTTACATCTTTAAACAATAATGTATATTTATAAAGAAATTCTATCTCAATTTTTTTGCACCTTTCTATAATCTCACAAGTTTTACATGAGTCAGGAGTTATTCTAGTGTACACATGGAAAAACTCATGTTCTGAGAGGTTAATTAATACTGTTTTATAACCAAGTGGAAGATAATAGAGCAAAGCCTTTCATGTCAGATCTATAATATTTAGAAAATGATACATTTTTATCCTCATCAATTCTAGCGAGGGCAACTGAATAGTCATGTTTAAGACAGTAATGAACAGTGGTGATGATCTGGGAATAGAAATCCCTGGCCTCCTCCATACCAGACAACTGCTCTGCTACTGAGCTATACTCATGATATGTGATAGATGTCAGGGTCTGCTCTTAAAACTGCCTGTAATAGTCATACCCATGTGTTACATTTGAAGGAATAGCACTGACTGCTTATTATAAAGAACTTAGTAGCTATTTTAAAACTTAATTTAGCACTCTAAAAAGTTAGTGCCCTTGGCATTCATAACAGATAAAAATACCTAGGGAGAAAATAATGTAGTAATTAATACAAGTAGCATTTACTGTGACACTCTCAGAACAGGTGAACTGATGTTGGAATTGCAGTGGCCAACACAAGGAGATTGTTCTTCCAGAGAAGTATGTGGTTACTACATAAAATTAACCTTTGGTCAGTAACCAAGGTTACCTCAGTGAAGGAGTCCTGCTATACATGGCAGTCAGTGAAAGTTTCTGTCTAGATTTTTTAGATACAAATAGCCTGTATTTGATTGTCTTTTCATAGTTTTAGGCTTTTTGTTTTTCTAAGACCTAAGATTGCATACCCTTATGCAGTGATCTAAAGAGTTTCCTTCAATTTTGTACATTGAGGCAAAGGGAAATCTGGTGTCTTTGCTTAAGGCATTAGGAAGGGTCAAGACAGAATGCTAACACTAGGAGCCTAGAGAAAGCATCAGTTAAGATGCTTACCTTGGAAGATTTGCTATGTTCATCTACATATTTTTAAAATAGATGTGAGAAGAGGAGAGAAAAGCAATTTTGGAAAAAAAAAACTAGAGTAATAAATTATTTTGTTTTTTACTTCATAATCATACTTCTAGCAGTTTAGAAAAAGTTTTTTTTAAAAAGCACACATTAAACTATCAAATAGGTTGATCCAAATAGTCCAAATAATCTTCTAGTCCCAGCATGTCTTTTTTTCTCTCCTAGAAATTAGGATCATATATTTGTAAATGACTTGTAGAGGAGATTGAAGCAGTCAGTGTAAATGGAGTTTCTCCAGGTGATGACGCCTAATCGCTGGGTAATAGCTGTGGACTTGCTGTGAGACCTGCATTATTACAATGTAATCAGAATCCTGTTGCTTTGCTGTTATTGTCAGCCACTTGTGGAATTTTAAAAGCATAACAATTTTGATTTTAAATCATGGCATTATTAAAGTTATTTTCTTCCCTTGCCAGAACATAGCTATTGATGCTTGTCTTTGAAGGCTTCGGCTGTAGTGGAATTCTTTGTTGGTGTCTGAAGTGTTTCTGTTGCTCAGCATACTGAGAGCATCTCCACATCGCTTTTCTTTTAGCACATTTTATTTTTATTGTAATGTCAGTATTTGTTTACTTATACTGAAGAGTATGATGACAGTATGGATAATTTTTAAATGTGTTAGACTAATGTTTACTTTTATTTGACCTAGGAATTTATTATGAAAGTTTGCCTATAGAAAATAGATTTTTCCTATTAGGTTTTGCTTATAGTATCAATAATAACAATTTTTTTACTCCTTAATATCATAGCAGAAATCTAGAAATGGGGGGAAAAGGTCTAGACACTTGCTTCTTTATAAGAAAAAAAATTTGGAATTGATAAAAACAAAAACTTGACAAGCATAATGGTGCACACCTTTAATCTCAGCACTTAGGAGCCAGAGGCAGGCAGATCTATGAGTTTGAGGTCAGCCTGGTCTACAAAGTGAGTTCCAGGATAGCCAAGGCTATGCAAAGAAACCCTGTCCTGGAAAAACAAAAAATAAAACATAAAATCAATGCACTTAGATATCATCTCCACCCTCCCCAAGACAGGGTTTCTCTATGTAACAGCTCTAGCTGTCTTGGAACTCGCTTTGTAGACCAGGCTTGCTTCTAATTCATAGAGGTCTGCTAATACCACCTGGCCTATATATTATCTTGAATGTTAAGATGTGGAGACCAGCAAGATGTCTCAGACACCTGCTACCAAGCCTGATGACCTGCTCTCAATCCCCAGGACTCACACCCATATAGACACAAACAAATGAGTAGATAAATGTAATCTTTAATTTTATTTGGTGTGTGTGAGTGTTTTGCCTACATGTATGTTTGTGTGCTATATTTATATATATGGAAGCAAGAAGAGAATGTTGGATACCCTAGTGGTGGAGTTATGGCTGGTTATGATCTGCTGTATGGGTGCTAGGAATCAAATCTGTGTCCCCTGAAAGAACTGCTAGTGGTTTTAACCACTGACCCATCTCTCTAGCCTCAAAAAATGTAATTTGAATGATTAAAAAAATAATTTGTCTATAAACTGTTAGTTCATGTTACATAGCTAGGAATGTAATCCAACTGCAGTCTTACTGAGGGCTGTAAAAGTCTACATATCTTTTTCTTTCTATTATTCATGAATTCTCCCAAATCAGTTTGTGGGATTGCTTTTCTGCTTATTACCATGTAGCTCCTTTGTGAGGACATTTAAAACCTACTATTTATTTGTGTTTTGGAGCAAACAAACAGTACAGAATTGAGGAAAACTTAGATTTGGGAGTTCAAGACTCATTAAGGCTATCTTGAAACCACTGTCCTCTGTTGACTTATAACATCTTGTTTACCTATACCAAGTGGAGCGTTGTTTTTGAAGTCATGATCCTTCTCCTGTGTCCTCTTGGGTGTTGGGATTACAGACATGTACCACCGATCCTGGTGGCTTTTTATTTATTTACATTTTAAAATATATATATGTGTGTGTATGTATATATATATATATATAAACATATATATTATTGCATGCATGTGGTTTTTTTTCTGTTTATGGAGATGTGCACATAAGTGAAAGTGCCCACAGAAGGTACATTTGATTTTACAGATAGTTGTGAGCTTCCTGAATTGCTTCCTTGGGAATTGAATTCTAGTCCTCTAGAAGAGAAATATGTCTTAACTGGGCGCCTTCTCTCCATAATATTTTTATTAATTCCGCAACTATTTTAGACAGTCTGTTTTGATCATATTCATCCACATCCAGACTCATCTCATTTCCACCTCACGTCACTTCCCACCCAACTCTGAGTTTTCTTTCTTTCTTTTTTTTTCCAATAAGTCCAATTTGTGTTGCCCTACAACTCTCCTTGGAATGAGGCCTGCCCTGAAGTTATTCAAGCTACTAGGGCTCACATCATTAAAGAAAACTGACTCACAAGAGACAGGTCTTCCCACTTCAGTTAATGCAATCAAGATTACCCTCAAACAGGGGCTGGAGAGATGACTCATCAGTTAAGAACACTGCTCTTCCAAAGCATTTGGGTTGAATTCCCAAGACAGCTCACAACCTTCTTTAAACTCCAGTTCCAGGAGAGTTGATGGCCTTTTCTGACTTCCTTGGTCACTGAATATATGTGATTCACAGACATACACTTAGTCAAAACACCCATAACACAGAAAATAATAATAAAATAAACTTTAAAAAAAATACCCCATATAGACATGCTCACAAGGGCAGTGGTGGCACCCACCTTTAATCCCAACACTCAGAAGACCGAGGCAGGTGGATCTCTTGAGTTTGAGATTAGCCTAGTCTACAGAATGAATTCTGGGATAGCCGGGGCTGTTACACAGAGAAACCTTCTCTTGAAAAACCTGAACCAAACAAAACAAAATTAAAAAAACAAAACCAAGCAAACAAACAGACATGCCAACAGACCATCCTGCTTTAAATAATCCCTCATTGAGACTCTCTTCCTGTATGATTCTAGATTGTCATGTAGACAGTTAACAGTAAGCATTCCAGTATGTTTTACCTGGAGGTCAACTACCTCTAAGAGTTCATATAACCCTTGCTTCTCTGCAGAGTTCTCTTTCCCTTCCCTCCTGATCAGTAGAACCTCTATTCTTTCACGTTTAATTCCAGGAGCAATGAAGATTCTGAGATGAGATCTTTTTCCCAGAAAGGGTGCTTATTCCAGTTAGAATCTTTTTTTTTTTTTAAATACTTAACTTTATTTTATGTGCATGTGGTATAAAGGTGCCAGATTGACTGGAATTACAGACAACTGTGAGCTGCCATGTGGGTGCTGGGAATTGAACCTGGGTCCTCTGGAAGAGCAGCTAGTGCTCTTAACCACTGAGCCATTCCACTAGCCCCTCCAGTTAGAATCTTGTAAAGACTAAGTAAGGTAAAATTTGGTTGTCATCTATTTTACGTTTTATGTTTGTTCACAGAAAGCTACTCTGGTTGAGCATGGGATCCGACGACTTACGTTCCTGGTTGCACAAAAGGTATTGACATTTGAATTATATCTGTCTAGTGTTTATGTTGCCATCACATTTTTTGGGTTTCACTTTTTTGCTACAGGATTTCTCTGTTTAGCAAACAGCTCTAGCTGTTCTGGAACTCTATAGACCATGCTGGCTTCGAACTCATGGAGATCCAGATGTCTCTGCCTCGCCACCATCTGACTGCCATCACATTTTTAAAGATAAGAAATAGAGTTACGATAGTATGTTATCTATAGATTCTATGTAAAGAAATAACTATATCTCTCTAAATTTAATTTTTAAAAGACTTGATAATTGGTATTCTGGGAAGGACTTTCTAAACTCATTCTGCTAATTTATTCTCTTTCCTTTTTTTTTATGTGAAAGGATTTCAGAAAACAAGTCAACTATGAGGTGGATCAGAGATTTCATGTAAGTAAAGGTATCAACTATCAAAGGTTTTTTCTTTGCCACTGATTACTTAAGCAGAATATAGCTGCATTATATGAAAGGATTATACTTGAGAATCATCCCTATAAAGTATGGGAATGACTTTTTAATTCTACCTAATATTCCAGCATAAGTTTCTTCTTCTTTTAAACACTACATTGGAAATCTCAGTGTAACTCTTGAGTTGTTGATAAAGATGAGAGTATACATTGCCTTTGTTGAATAAGAAGGAATTCACCAAACTTTTTCCCTGTGCACACAGTAAGTCAGTAAGAAAGCAGTACCAGTTATTCTTGAGGTCTTAGTTTCTACTAAAAGCGGATCCAAGTTCTGATACCAAGAAACCTCAGTTCTGAAGATCAGTAATTTATTGCTTAAAAAATGCTTTTGTAGAGGTCAAGTTGCAATTTTGTATGTTAATTCCAAGAGCAGGAATAAATAAATATTAAGGTTTTAATAAATAAATATAAGATTTTATTGGAAGGAAAGTTAAGCTAATAGTAACTGTCTGAACTTTAGTTTACACTGAGATCATAGCCAGTATGAAGATACTGATTAAGACCAGAAACCTAGCCTATATTCATATGTCAGTCAAAATGACTGATTGTAGTCAAAATGTTTCATTATAAATTGCTTCTTTGTGCTGGGTGGTGGTGGCGCACGCCTTTAATCCCAGCACTCAGGAGGCAG